CTGTGATAATCTAGTTGTTTTACTTCCTTTGCAGACAGGTAAGTATATTATCTAAAATTAATTTGTTTTTATTCATTTATAAATGTACAACTTTCTTAGACAAGATATGGAAATACTGCCGATGTGGCTTTAAATTTCAACTCACTCACTAAATATCTGCGTCCCCCAGTATAAGCAGGATAATGAGTGAGTGAGTGAGTTTAGTTTTACACCGCACTCAGCAATATTCCAGCTATATGGTGGCTGTCTGTAAATAATCCAGTCTGGACCAGACAATGGGGAACATTCCTGGAGTTGCTCCCCCTTGCCCGCTTGGAGCGCTGCGGTAGTTACGGTCAAACAGTAGCTGTCACTCTGATACTGGCCTGCCTATCAGCCAAGCCTAAACTTAATCGACCTTAAACCTACTTTTAACTCTGTGGTTCTTATATTACGAATTACGGAATCTTGAAGTTGTCCCGACTGACGACTGTTGTCAAAGCACGAAAAATAATGCTAAAAGAACGGTACTGCAGTTATTGTAATATTGCCGTTTCTCGGAATTTCTTATTGAGTAGGTGCTTTGTAAATTCGTCAAACCATTTACTCCCCATTATGTCACATTACACAGAGCATTAATGCGGTCATAATAGTTGTTAGAACATAGGATTAGTGTACACTGAAATTAACGTTAGCGCTGACCCGATTATGCGCACAACATAAGTGCTTCAGTTTTCGTTCACGTAAACAATCTATTCTCACAGCCTATAACGCTTTGGGATGCAATGGAAAGAGGAAATGCTATGGCAACGGATCGTTTTCGAAAGGATTTGAAGCATAAATCATTTTCATCGAATTAACGACTCGCTGACAGTGTGTTCAACAAAATATATTACACCCATTCACACGATAAATAAGCTCACAACTTCCGGTTTATAGTTTCTACATACATATTTAAGAACCGTTCATAATAAATGGGGTGGGTGTTGGTGATGATTTTTATTGAGAAGCATGTACAAAGTAAGTGACACCCCCTTTGCATATGTCATATTCAAAAGCAATTAAACCCACCCCCACCCCATAATTTTAAGCATAATCTTTTTTATGTACAAATGTGCTTACCCCCTAGTACATGTGTACAAAATTGATGACCTCTACCTTTCCTGAACAAAATAGGCATATTGCTTGCACAATATATTTCATTTGGGACCCCACCCCAATCTGTACCATTTTTGAAGGCTGTCTCTTCTCAACACAAATAACCAGTATCTAAATGATAGATCACATTTTGTAAACACAAGAATATTTTTTGAAATTGTGTTTCAGGTGTTGTCAAATGATGTAACTAAGCATGAGTGAATTACTGAAATGTTATAAACACATTGAACCATTACTGGAGGTCTGAACTATCTGATGCCAGAAGCAAAGGGGTATCGGGTACATTGTCTTTTAAGGTGGGAGCCTTTAAATTTGAATACAAATATTTCACATTTGTTATTCCAGCATGTGTGAAGGGTTTGCAAATTACATCAAGGCTCATCACAATTATAATGGACTCACAGTGTCAGTGAACACAGTGTGTATTTGAAATACTGAAACAAGGAATAATTTAGCTTTTGAATGGTAGTCTAAATGGTACAATTGAGATTCTACAATACTTATGATTATTCTCATGTGTCAGTTATCATCAGACAAAAATGAACAAAGTCTGGGTTGTCATTTCAGTTTTTATTGTTCAACATATTATATTCTGCATGTATGGACATTCATAAATATAGACATACATACAGTAAAAAAATGATGGTCTCCTTTGAAGAACCTTGATTAACACTTACATCAGATGCATGTTGATGTTTTCCACACTGACAATCATACTGTCAATATTGCTGTACAGATAATTTAGGTGACATGCATATGCACCAAAAATGGAAGTACAACAGTGAAGTCTGAATATTTTGACAGTCCTGTGTAAATGAAAATTGCTGCAGCACTGAGCATAATAGTTAGCACTGGAAGCACTGCATATTTGTCTCTGTTTATATACAGTTACTTTCATATTCGGCCTGTGCCCACTCTGGAGAGAAAATGTTTGGCTCAATATTCTTGCCATCAAAATCATCATGGGTGATTGTTGCCTCCCCAGCGACCTCACTGATGTTACATTCAACATCACAAGTATCCACCAGCATTAAGTGGGTCAGCTGATACAGTCCAGGGAAAGAATTGGTCATACAACATCTGTGTCTCTCTGTTGCCTCAGATGTGTTCATCCTGGAAAACATCAGTGGAGTATTACTATCCAAACTGATATAGGGTAATATTATCTCATGACTGCCAGTTATAAGAAAATGTATCATTATCAGATTTAAGTTACTATTGTAGAGAAAGACATGTCACATAATGAACATATTCATTCCGATAGGTCAAAGGTGAAAAACATTATTCTTAACAAATGTTCAACTATGGAGAAGCATAATTTAAATATGCTGACATTTTTTCATTCTCTGAGTGGCATTTAGAAGTTGGTGTGATGAACAACAAGGAGAGTTCTATGGATATACGACTTCTTTAATATAAGATGAGCGACATTGTGGTGTAGCTACTAACACCGTTATCAAGCAAGTAACTCTCCTCGTTAATTTTTTTTCTGATACAAAGAAGTGTGTTCAACAAGTACACCAGACATTATTCAGACAAATGCATACCAAAAGGAAACAATCACTAACCTGTAGCATGTGTATTCTGGAATCACCTGGGCCTCATCTTAGTGGACAACAGGCACCTGTAGGGAGATGTAACATGATGCATTAAAGGGAAAAAGTCAATTGTGTATTAGCATTCTTGGTAAACTTTAATTCAACAATGAAGGGAGCAAAGGTATTATTGTCAAACATAAACAATTTGCTTGTGAAATGCCAATTACCTTAAAACATTGAAAATGATAAATTGGGGTTCCAATTTACTTGCCTACTCTACCTACCTGTCATCAGGAGATATAAGCATATGTGAAAATATCACATACATTAGAATTTTAAGTAAATTACTCAATGTAACTCAGTGTCAAACTGACAACTGTATTTAAGATGCATGACCAGGTGTTGTATGAGAGAAGACAAGCAGGTAAAATCAACAGGCCATATCAAGTGATGAATGCTTTGCTATTGAAATATAGTTGAAAATAAATTCAATAGATTAACCTGAAATTAGAATGCAATAGCTGTGTTCAAGTACGGTGGAAAATTTTGAAACAATGTTAACAATGAATAAAGCCTAACTACTACAGAAACTGTTTTATCATGTTTATAGCTAATCTTCACTGGGGTGCCGATTTCAGACGATAACATCAGTGGCATTCTACAGATGGTGACGCCTTGGGCTGCACCCTTGTAAAGCGAAAAGATTGTGTACTGTACGTTTTGATGATTACTACAGTTAGAGGCCCCTAATGTTTCGCGTGAAAAGTTTTGTACAGCATGTGTCCCTCTTAAGCAACACATTCTTTTTCCCTGAATCGATTCAAAACCCCTGCTCGTAATTTCGGTTGGCATGCACGTTAACTAAATTTGGCAAGGAGAATAACAATAACAACGTTTTCTTCAAACTGTAAAAGATACAAAATACGTGGTACTTACCATAATTAGTTACAGTAACGAAATCGCTCTGTAAGAAGTGGAAATGGCACACAACACTGAGAGTGAGACCAGCGAGAGCTGACGGCTACCTCGTCATGCTTTTGTTTCATTCGTCGCTACTTCGAATGATAGTCAACCACCACTTCAGCAAGTTTTGACCTCTCGGACACGTCGAACTTCTATTGCAGCATCCCGAGGCACGGCAGCACGTTTCAGGCATCGTAATATTGCTGCGCATTTGAAATCGACCGTGCAACAAACTTTGAACGCCATCATTATGCCGGAAGTATACTTAGGACCGTAGTGATTGGCGCCATCTATTGGCGAAGCTGTAAAGGGAGATAACTGAGGAATGTTCCCCAGTGTAACAATGTCAACAACACGTGCGTGACGTTTCCAATAACACACATATGTAACATTGTATGAAACAAAGATTCTTAACATTGTCAACAACACACGTGTACCGTTGTATGCAACATAGATGTTTAACATTATCAACAACACACATGTGTAACATTGTGTGCAACATAGATGTTTAACATTATCAACAACACACGTGTGTAACATTGTCAACATACTCTACCGTTTAGTATTATATCTTCATTCATGTTTAAGAAGTTCACCACTGTGTAATTTACGAAATGGGTCCTGAAATATATATTACCCCAAATCGTTGGTGCCCACAACAAATTGGAGCTGAAAATCAACGTCTGCGCGTCGTGCGTATTATTGCTCCAGATGAATGCCGCCTCGGCGTATTGTACGCATAAAAAGCAGTCAAATACTGACGACTTGCAACCTGCAACCTTATCAATTATGTGGGGAATCATTCTTTTCGCTTTAGCGGCTAATATGTACCGGACGTCGTCTCTTCTCAAAAACTTTCTTCAGTATAGCATGAACTATTTTCAGAGAGTGGCTCTTTGTCTCCTTTTCTCAGGTACGGGTTATGTCAGAGAAATTGTTAGGGTACATCACTGAACAATAACGTATGAAGCACACTTACTGTTTACGTTAGGATTGTTACATCTCGATTATCAACGGTTCATGGCAGTTCGATATGCAAGGAAAGGTCACCCCACCCCCACAATATATTGTTATCTATCTTGTCTACACATTGCCTGTAATAAATAATGTTTCAATAAGCTAATGTGTGTTCATTAAATAATATTATTTATATTATTTAGGGTTTTACTCAAATTGATATTAGCAAATATAAATGAGTTTAGAATGCTATGAATTCTGCTACTTCCTCAGTAACACCAATTGATTGGTCAAATACCTGTAAGCCCGGTAGTTTTGATGGACAAAATTCTGTGTAAAATTCCGTTTGTTGATTTTGTTCACTGTGTCAATGAAACCACATTACCGTAAGAACAAAATGTTTAATTGATTTCCCAGAAACAAACAGTTTTATTCATAAATATAAGTAAATATATTTTATAGAAAAAAAACATGCAAAAACATATGTGAAAGCATTGCTAGGAGAAACAAAGTAATTTAGACTAAATATTTTTTATAACTAATGTAAGAGATCTATAACGTTGATGAAGTTACATCTACAGTTCTACCAAATGATAATGTGAGCTTCGGAAAACACTTGACGGGGAAAGAACTCAAATGTACTGGGGCAGTATAATAGATATTTTCTGGTACGAATGCAACATCTAGGAAGTTAATATTGGCTTGTGCTCATATATCGTTGTTGAAATCCAACAACAATTGGAAATCTGTTTAAGACGAAATCAGGACTGGTATTCAATATTTATACATATACACTTCGTAATATTCCTATACTTTCTTTTCTCTAAAAGATGCGAACGATTCCAGCTTGACACCTGCCTTTCCCAAAGGTGGTTCCGTTGCATCCAGTTTGTAGTTCTCCTTCTTGGCCCTGAGAATATAACAAATGTAAGGGAGGTTACTCAGTCTCGCTACATCGTACATGGGGCCCACATAACATTTGAAACGTTATCAACAAGAAATCACAGATATCTGCCGAAATAAATACTCATAAATACAACCAAAGGGTCATAAATTTCCCATAACAATAATCACACTCAATTATAGTTACACTCATGACAGACGGTAGATTCATTGTTGTTTTCAAATTAGATGAAACAGAATTTCACTAAAAATGTATTTTTGACAATTGACGATAAGTGATTGATTTCACTGAAAAAATGAAATACAAAAGGTGATTTAAATAATTGCTACTGATGTCATTTGCCGAGTAACAGTTGTTCAGGGCCTTACACATGTTTTGGTAAAATAATATGCTGCATCTGTTTGTTTTGAATGAATAAAACCTGTACGCATGTGTTCTTTTTTTCTTACTTAAAATGTTTTTCAATTGTAATTTTGGAAGGTAAGAAGAGTATATTAACTCAGTCTAATTTTAAAAAGTGTATGTGACCTACCGATAAATCCCGAAACAGAAATATTAACACGTGGGCCCACATTTCTGTCTACAGGCTAGCTATTCTCGAAACATTCGTACACCTACGAACTTCTTAAGCTCATTCTTAATACACTGGCTACGATCAAAGTTAAGAATTCTTAGGGCTGCGAATGTTTCGAGAACAAAGGCCCAGATGCCTACAGTTTTTTTTTGGTGAGGTCGTTTTTCAATTTTGGGCATGCCTATAGTCAACACATTTTTATAAATGCTAAGACTTGTAGTTTTACTCTCTTTTTTTAAACAAAATGTGGGTCCACTCACAAAAAGTCCCCACAGATAAAATGATAAGTAGGCCCACATTTTTGTTTTCTCTTTAATGTATACAGTTTGGTTTTGGTCGTATGTTTTAAACGTTTTATATTTACAAAGAAAACCAATGATACTTTTCTTGTCTCACAAATCGGATACTTCAATATCAGATGATACTCTGGGATTCATTGATATTCGAATATAATGCGGGCCCACATCCGAAACCCTCTAACAACCAGCTTGTAAGTGATCCACAATTCAGTCATATTGACCAACATGTCTAAAAATCGTAAAGCAAAATGCTGCTATTCATATAGATGGAAATGACTTGCTCAATTGTATAGTTTTAATGATGATTCGAGTAACGCAGTTTATCACTTTCTGATCGTCATGCGTTTTCGGATACGAAACTAATCAGCATACCTCCAGTCTGTATCTAGAGTTAGCTCCCTTCCAAACTCGAAGAGGAAACATTTTTACACGCCATGATATCTTCATGTTTTATGTAGATCAACATATTGTCTTGTTGCACATTCTTACATAACTGCAGGTATTAAATCATGTTACACGATCGCCAGTTATTACACAGGAAGAACACACGCCAACAAAGGCGTTAGCATTACGATATCTAAAATTCATATGAAGGTAAGTTCATGTTATCTTGATATAATAACTTAAAGGCTCCCTGAATCACCAGTAAAAATACTGTTCTTTTTTACACACTTTAGTATAATACATTCTACATTGTGAGAAGTCACTTTCTGTTTGCCTAACAACGAAATGGCATAAAGAAATGCCGCTCACTTTCGCATATTCTTGGCGTCTTCTATAGTTTCAGGAAGCCTCCTTTTCAGCGTCTCTGGTAGGAACAGTGTCAAGAGACCTGCGGCAATGGACAGACCACCGAACACGATGAGAGGCAGCGCCACCTTCAGGTCACCGCCAAGTAATACACCCTGAAGAATATAATCATGCAAAGACTGAATCTACAAGGAAATTAAAATAACGATGTCTCTTTAAAAAACCCGTAGAGATAGTGACACTAACAGCACAGAGGCTATTCCGTAATAATAATATCAGGGTAATTGGTCGATGACAAACTGATAATAAAGATCATACCACAATGTTTTTGAGTTAATATATTCAGAGAATCTTGACCTTACCAGATCTGCAATGTAAGGGGAGACCATCCCACCGATCCTGGCAAAGAAGGAGCTGACTCCCACTCCCGAGTTTCGGACAACAGTCGGGAACAACTCAGCTGTGTACACGTACACAATGGCGAACGCCCCAGCAGCTCCGAACTTTCCCACCATGGACAGTGCGACTGTAACCCAGTCTATAGCTGGAAACGTAAATTGAGTTGAGTTATGTGAGGTTTTGCTGTATAAATGGGAAAAGAAAAACCCAAACAAACATACACACTGGATTACTAAGGTTCCTTTCTGTCTTCAACTTACACGAGGTTCCAAAGAGGACTGGGAAAATTGTGCAGACACAGGCTATCCCACCAAGGAGCATACAGCCGCATTGAAGGAACTTCCTGCCCAGTCGATCCAGCAGAGTCACACACATCACGTACGAGACGAACTCCACGATGTTGGCGATGGTGAAGTTGAGGTAGATGTCGCCACTCAGGTTCTGGACGTTCAAGCCCAGACCGTAGTAAACCATACTTGCCACAAACCTATGTAAAATGGACATCCACATCATAAAGAATGCTTTGAATAAGTGGCTGCCCCAGCTATATATCTGTACCATGATATTTAGACATGTTGCGAACATATGATAAATGATTCCTTTTGACACTTATTTCTGATGTTTAAGGAGGTGAACATAAAGAAAACACCATTATTAATTAGGTATAAGGAGCATTGGAATATTCTTACTGTTTTCTGAAACTGTGATGTACTGAACTGATAATTATGAATGAATATTCTTGAACATTTGTGCTTACAAGATATTCCTCATGCTTTTTTGTTCAGGTATGTGCTGTGTTTTCCAATGCAGCTTCCCTTCCTCTGACAGATCTACGTCTACTTTGATCACATTCCACATTCGATGTTATAAGATTGTTAAAAGATCATACAATGGGCAGGTTTTTCAGCATGATAGTGCCAAGGACAAAAAAGGCTTTACAGAATCCATACATAAGTGACGTCTAAAAGACTAACAGTAATTACCCTTTCACGGCGAGCAATTACTCCAGCTGGTGATACGATGGACTGCCGCGAAAGGAGATGACTCATATTGAAAATGTATGTGTGGGCAAGTGTTGTTTTGCCTATATTGCAGTTATGCCACTGCAAAAAGTTTTATTTGGAACTATACCAACTAATGTGTCTAATCATGGTCTTTGTTACAATGTATTCATGCACGGAAACATGGGTGGTGTTTGGGCACAGTTTGTTTAGTTTGTTTGTTGTTTAACACCGGACACAGCTGTATTCCATCTGCAAATATTTGAGTTTGGACCAGAGAATCCAGTGATAGACATCATGAGCATTGATCTACGTAAGTTGGATACGATGACGTGTGTCAACCATGTCAGCGAGCCTGACCATCCGATCCCGATAGTCATCTCTTACAACAAATATTGGTTGCAGAAGACCATTTCAAACCTGTAACTTCACGGGTCAAGGATAGTGTGTTGGAGATTAGAATTCTCTTTTTCAGGCTCCCTCAATGCATTGTTTATGTCTAATACACTACCACCACAAAACACAACCGTATAAATTCTTTATATATTCTCTTTTTTTACTATATCTGTTATATTTCGTCTCACCAGTTGAAGAAGATGATGACAGTGACCAACAGCAAGTACGGTGTTGTGAACATCTGCGTCACCCTCACGGCCTGCACGTTGTCGTTGTCTACTGTTATCTTCTCCAACATCTCTTCTGGAAGTTCGACACCATTCACAGACGCCATCTTCCGTATGATTACTTGAGCTTCCGGTATGCGACCACGTGATATGAGCCATCGAGGAGATTCAGGAATTACCCTGTGAAATGTGTCATGTTATATGTGTCTCACATGGAACATATGTAAACTACAGCGCAGTAGGGTTTACCGATGCTTTCGAATTGTATTGGACTTTTAAAATTTGGACCATCTCTTGACTGGGTTATAATTATAACATGTTAAAAATGTCGTAATTTTGTGAACAACAAACCAGTAAATGAAAATCGGGTTACAACATACCAATAGTTGAAAAGTCAGGTTAAAACATACCATTAGTTTTAAGGTCAGGGGACAACATACCATTAGTTGTAAGGTCAGTGGACAACATACCATTAGTTGTAAAGTCAGTGGACAACATACTATTCGTTGTAAGGTCAGTAGACAACATACCATTAGTTGTAAGGTCAGTAGACAACATACCATTAGTTGTAAAGTTAGTAGACAACATACCATTAGTTGTAAGGTTAGTGGACAACATACCATTAGTTGTAAGGTTAGTGGACAACATACCATTAGTTGTAAGGTCAGTGGACAACATACCATTAGTTGTAAGGTCAGTGGACAGCATACCATCAGTTGTAAGGTTAGTAGACATACCATTAGTTGTAAGGTCACTCGACAACATACCATTAGTTGTAAGGTCAGTGGACAACATACCATTAGTTGTAAGGTCAGTGGACAACATACCATTAGTTGTAAGGTCAGTGGACAACATACCATTAGTTGTAAGGTCAGTGGACAACATACTATTAGTTGTAAGGTTAGTGGACAACATACCATTAGTTGTAAGGTTAGTGGACAACATACCATTAGTTGTAAGGTTAGTGGACAACATACCATTAGTTGTAAGGTCAGTGGACAACATACCATTAGTTGTAAGGTCAGTGGACAGCATACCATTAGTTGTAAGGTCAGTAGACAACATACCAATAATACAGAATGTAGAGAGCTGTTGGAACAGATATACAAAGCTGGAGAGTTTGCCAACTTCGGATGAAGTAGGCAAGAAGACCCAAGGTAAACAGACCAATGGACCAGAATATCTCCACGATAATTCCCACAAACACTCTTCTGGATGGTCCCGTCATTTCCATCGCTGAAACAGAAAACCAACAGCAGGCTGCATCGCAGTATGAAATGTTATGACATCATTAAAAGTGGAAATAGCTCTTTAATTTTCTTTAACTTCTTTCATGGGAATGTATTATCTTATTACACATACACGTATAATCTATAACAGATAAATAGTTAGCTTAAGAGTACTCAGTGATCTATATCTTATCTAAACTTATATATATTTTGAAAAAAAACCCACAATATATATATGTGTGGTTTTTCTTCAAAATTTCCCGACTGATTGTGGCTCTGTTCCTCGAGTGAGTGAGTGAGTGAGTGTGAGAGAGAGTAAGGTTTTACGCCGCTTTTAGCAATATTTCAGCAATCCCACGGCGGGGGACACCATAAATGGATTTCACGCATTGTACCCATGTAGGGAATCGGACCCGGGTCTTCGGCGTGACGAGTGAGCGTTTCAACCACTAAGCTACCCCGCCGCCCCTTTCATGTGCCAACGTGTTGAGGTAGTACCTTATATATGAAAGAATATATATATTCATAAATATTTACTTAAAACAAAGGAAGTTGTGAAGGCAGCTACCCCGCACATACTCCCCAGCACCCGGAACGCAATGTACACGTAAACGTTGGGGACAAAAGCCATGCTGATGCTGATAATCGCCACGCCTACTGAATTGAGCAGGTAGAGAGGACGTCGCCCGAAACTAACAAATAAACAAAGTGTGTACATAAGAGTGTGTATGGTGCGCACGTAAAATATGCATACAGACAAAGTGCGACGAAATCATTTCCACATTCATACAAAACTCTGAGAGTACGAATATTATGTTATCGATCATTTTCAAGTGATGCTAGATGTTCGCGAAAAAGTGAGCAAATGAGCTCAGTTGTTTATCTAAAACACCTCGTAAGTCAAAGCAGGGAATTTCGATCGGAAACCCTTTTTGTCACTGGTGCCTCAAATTGCCTCAACGTGTCCACCATAATACATTTTGAAAGTTTGCCTGTTTCGATATCAAATGCATACAGAAATAACGAGTTCTCGGCAATTGCTTATTTTCTGAAGTTGTGAAATTGTAATATGGAACAGCTATTCAAACACAGGTTTTTGTGTGAACACAGTTTCTACTTCTGAAGACCATATTTGAATAAATGGTCACAAGATATTCCTCCAATGCTGTGTTGACACAAAGTTGTTGGATGACATTATAACTATGAAATTTACACATATACATTGAGGCGTTCCCCGTCTATACCACAGGTTGACACTGCAGAGGGCTCAGTAAGTTTGTCTCACAGTCCCTGAACCACATTATTTTCCCTACTGCCTAGCCCTCTCTGCAATGGTAAAGCCCTAAATGAAGTAAGTCTAGATTTCCTTAGGTTCAGGATCTCTGGTCTCCTTTTCAATTTAAACCGTTAGTCTAATGGTTCAGTATGCATGGGTCTATATGCTTAGGGATTCATTATACACTTACTACATTCCCCTATCTTTTTTAAGGTATGTTAACAGAGTAACAAAAACAGATATAATGCTTATACATTCATTTTCAGGAAATTTAGAATGAGACGCATAACATTAATTCTGTGATAGCACACACACTCACAGTTAAAAAACATCAGAAACATTGACATTGCGGAAAAATATGAAATCAGACTTGAAATAAGTGGTTTAAAAATCAACGCTAAGTCATTTTTCAAACCAGAAACATTTGATCACCATAATTCACTGATCAGGTGATTGGGAAGGTTGAGTATTGTTCATGTTAGGAAGGGTAACAATAAAGGGATGGACAACTTCTTCATTACATTGACAGCGACAGGAAAGATAAGACTTTATGGATGATCAACTTCTTTATTGTACAATAGCGACGTTTCGGTATAGATACTTATACCGTTTTCAAGCCGCTTTGATGAAGGGTATGGTACGGAGGGAGGGGGATTTGGGGGCGTCTTATAAATATAGTATAGCAAAGCACGAGACCTTATATATTTGGTTCAATGGTATTTGGTTTCTCTTGTCATTATTCAGCGATAGAAAGACTATGATAATATGCACAAAGGCGAAACTTTTTTCCTTCCCGAGAACATATTTCAAAAGCAGTCTTGCACTTAAAGGTCGTGTCTGGGGAAAATATGAAACAAATTAGCAATGCCTTATCTTATTTACCATGTTCAATACATACTGGCTATAACAGTATATACAGAAATAGGTGAGCAGCATGCATTGATTCAAATGGCATGCCAATGTGGCTGCCTTTGTTGCACTCGAATGGAAGCCATTTGTTATTACAAATTGTAACATCATGCAACAATGAATTATTTAATGAATAAATTCCTAAATGCAGTACACTACTTTGTTGTTGGCACTCACAAGTCTGACAATAGTCCCATGACGAGAGTTCCAGCCAGCTGCCCAGCAAACCCTGCCATGTTCGAGTGGGATCGCAGAACAAGGTCGTCACAGACTATACTGAACTGATGCAAGAAAAGAGAAGGTACGTACTATGCAAAAGGTAAAGAAAATACAAATTACAAGATTATTGTTCAATAAAGCGTCACCGTGAAGCAAAAACAGTTCTGCATCAACAAAACTTCACCATCAGACAATCTCTCCAATGTGTATTTGGGCTTCACAAAATGGGCTTCACCCAGTGGGGAATACAACCCAGGCGAGCGAACACTTGGCCACTCCGACGCTCCCACAATTGGGAAAGGTATCTTTCTTTGAAAATTTCATCCAATTTACAAGCCATTCATACAGGGTTTAGATACATATCCTGCACAACAAAACCTAGGGATCATGTATATTGGAGATACTTTTATAGTGAAGCTGAGCACAACATTTCATAAAATATCCACATATACCTGCATGACCCCTTGTGTTAAGTGTTGTTTGGTAAGTATATATCATAACCTTTGTAACTTTCGATAATTAAACAAAACATGCCATTCGCTTATTCCCTTCTGTTATCTTGAGCTTGTATCATTCATGACATTGGAACGGTTTGCAAAACAATAACAGTATCATTGACATTTACAAATGAAAATATTACCTTTTCTGTCAGTGTTGATTCATATGTGGACCGATCAAACACCCATGAGCTGCACGGAGCTGTCAGGTTGTTTGGTTGGCTGCCGTTTTGAGGGTACTGGAACATTTTACAGGAGGAGAGCACCTGCTTGTCTCTTTCTGTCTCCCAGGGGATAGACATGTTGATGAGGGAAGAGTGGTGATCATTCTGCGCCTGATAGGTGTCGTTAACTCCAAGGGAGCACCTTCACAATTACAGTGGAGTATCACCGAAAACCGGGTATACATATACACCATACAGAGTAATTGAACTTCAAAACTGCAGGGCATCGAGTGAAATATTAAGTAAACTATATGTACTTACCTGTGATCAGGTGTATCCAACAGGAATAATACCGAAAGCGACTGCATGGAACCAAAAAACGAAGGTATACAGATCAGTAAGTACAGTCTCTTTTGATACCATCCAAATTCTCCCAGATGCGCCAGAACCTCGTCAAACTTCATTTTACCTTCAAAGTAATACCACTCTTAAGTGACAGGGAGAAAACGGTCAATGTTGTCTTCCAGGTCCGTTGGACGGGGTATTTATTGGCTTATTTATTGACGTAACCTACTTTCACGAACCCACAAGGCTGAAATGCGTGACCATATGAACAGTTTGTAAATAATAAGAAAATTTCCAGTCTAAAAATACCATTATGCTATGTGACGCTACGTTCCACCTATTATGCACTTTATACGCTTTTCAGGTGTTAAACTATTGTGTGATAGTTTGGGTAGAACTTATGTGTGTTTAGATGCCGCAAAGCTGTCCCGACAACAGTCGTGTATACAAATGGTAATCTGAATGAATTAAATCTTTATTTTTTTCATCAGATGTGTTGTATTTTATAGGTTGCATAAAGCGCACCTCTTTTTCGGTTGACAATGTAAACGGAACGGTTTGGCGAAAACTCCTGTCAATACTTTCTTATTGCCTTGCGTCAGCAACGTGGCGAAAAAAAATAGAATTTTGATGACCTTTGCGAAAGAGTGAGTTAAAATTTCAAGTCACACTCTGCAAAAGACGCCACGAGAGGATCGAATTTCAGACCTTTCGATGTCTGGACAGACGAGATGTTTGAGAGCAAGGGGGTTATGATGACACTCGAGAAAAATGGGTAGCTGTGTTGACTTTACAAGACGCTTATCATTTTCACACAGGGCAGTCTTTGGAAGTGCTGAAGTCTCCTCTCTTCATTGTTCTTGAACAAGTTCGATATACCACGCCTTGATCATAGAGAGCTATAGGTATGCAGTCTGGTTCCTCGCAGCGTGTTTTGTTCGTCGATTCAACGTTCTTTAACGATCGTCACGCCGAAGACCCAGGTTCGATTGCCCACGTGTGTACAATGTGTAAAGCCCATTTCTGGTGTCCCCTGCCGTGATATTGCTGGAATATTGCTAAAAAGCGGCGTAATACCATACTCGCTAACTCGTTCGCTCAATGTTCATAGAAACACCATTTGGAAATCAAGTTATAGACGATCCCCGTAGTGGCCGCCCACCAGTAACGACCACATGTTAAGATGGGTTCGAACCACGCCAGTTTCACACCAGGCCGCAATTTGTGACGCCAGAACATCGACGTCGCAAGTAGAGTAGTGAACACATAAGTGGAGAATAGTTCATGAATTTCACCGCGCTAACCCGTGAAGATCCGGGTTAGAATTGATCTTCAGTAACCCATGCTTGTTGTAGGAGGTGACTAACGAGATCGGGTGGTCATACTCGCTGACTTGGCTGACAGATAGCATCGTATCCCAGTTGTGTAGATCGATGCTCATGTTGTTGATCACTGGATTGTCTGGTCCAGACTCGATTATTTACAGACCGCCGCCATATAGCTGGAATATTGCTGAATGCGGCGTAAAACTAAACTCACTCACTCTTCACCGAGCTGACAGCAGGACAGGCATCAGGTGAACGTTACATCTGGCCAAGTGTTCTGGAAGGAGATCGTTTGGAGACGAGGCTGTTACGATCTGGAGTGGGATAACAGCTGCACCAAGAAAGACAATGATTGTGATTGAGGGGAACTTGAATACTATGACGATTTTGTAAATGACCACTTTTTGAAATTGAACTGCCCTGGAGCGACGTTTCAACACGATAACGTCAGACCACACGTTCAGCAGTATCTTAACCAGAAAAATATTTATGTGTAACCCTAGCACATACGATTCCCTGATTTGTTACCCATTGAACACGTCTGGGATAAAATGGAGCGACGTTTACGATGCCATCCGAATCCTACAGTACTCCGCCTCTTCGGATATGGAATGATCTTCTCCAGGGATTTCATAGCCTCGAAAGTACCAATCCTGCACAAGGTGGACTACTGACCATGTGAACTTGCTTGTGAACCCCACTTTATTTCCATGTAATACCATTTCATTTGCGGAGTAAAGATTAACACTGATTCTGTTTGTCTTCTGCGTGCCACAATAACTTTGCCTGTGTTTATCGATATATGTGGTTGGGAAGACGTACGTTGGAAGATATGAACATAAGATTTTCAAAGGGATGTTTCCTTTTGAAGGTTTCAGTCATTGGATAAGTTTATAGGGGTGTATCTCTTCATCTAGGAGGATAAATATGTCAGCAAAAGAAAATGTTTATAAAAGATGGAGTTGGTTCCACAGGCCCTCGTGTCTTTTCGATTATTAAAGATTAAAAAAGTATTTTTTTAGATGACTCCCGACTCGAAATGCTTCACAGTACAATAAATGACAAGGCCGGACACTTCGGTGTACCCCACCTGTCTACTTTGCCGATCGCTACGCTACCACCGCATGCAATCGATTAAAACTTAATGTAAACATATTCATAGATGATTGGCCTATCGATCACCAATCATGTCACCTAACAATTCTTTATTGTTAGTTCTGTACGTCGGTTGAAAGCCAATTTTGACCCTCAACTAAACGATCTGGTCACAAATAGATGACGATAGGTCCTCACAAAACGGGTGTGTGGTAGAAGCAAGCCCTCTGATTGGTCAACCCTTGTAAATCTGCACATACGCGTTAATTGTGACTTTCATCGACTGCTTGACTTGGAAATGTAAGAATTTGTTTCTAGCAATGGCTTCAGAAAAGAAAGCATCAGCTGTAAATATCTCCTAACAAGCAGCGACCAGTCAGGGTCAACAATAGCCATTGAGCCTCAAGACACCTGCTAGCGAGCGGAATGAGGCCTGTAGTTTGGCTCTATGATTTGATTGATTGTCTGTCATCTACACTTTGGTCTGGTCGTGACACGGGTGTTAAGGGACCGTCGTTGTATAGCTGGAATATTCAACATCTATTCAGTATCTTTACTTTCACTCTCCATTTTCATCGATGGGACAATTGAAACATTTCGAAAATATGGAATCATCTCCAGTTTTAACAGTGATATGTGAATTTAAGGTTTCGAATTTGACTCTTCTAATTTGTTTTTCCCGTTGTCCTTGTTTTCAAAGATTCCAATTTGAAATACCTTACGGCTTGATTTCTAAAATATATCATATGTTGTGCCATCATTCTTTCTTGCAAGTAAATGTAACACATCATTAAAGGTATATACAACATTTGCATTCTGTGTTTTTAGTTATTTATAATTGCGAGGTATTTTGCGCAACTTCAGAATTTACTGTTTGAATCCCTTTGTTTAAGTCCACTTCTATCTCTAATTACTAAATTGCTTTTATGCAACGTTTTAATTCACATTCCCCGTATTGGGATGACACATTAGCACATGTTGCATGAACAATACAAAGTATGGACTATTGGTGGATGTCAGAGCAACCACAATAGATTGTTGCACATTTTTATGTTGTAATGTCCTAAATAGATATAATTTTAAGTTACATACTAGTTTTAAATCTATAACTGTGATATACTAGTTGTTTCACTCTCCTTTGGCGACAGATTTATCAAATAAAATTATAAAGTATTTACCGTTTTAGTCACGAAATTGTAACTCACCCACTCAATCATTTGTTCCTTTAGTTTATCTGAAGAAGTACAGCGGAACGAACATATGGTTCTAGTCAAAATGGGGAATTGCATCGGAGATAATTTTGTCATTGATGCGTACAGTTTGGGGATGTCCTCTACAAGTCTACACTAATGATACAGTAACAACAATAATTATGATGATACGATGACAATATCAAGATGTTCTGTACTATCTATTTGATTAGCATTTTAGAAGTTGATAACTTCTTGATTATATTATGATGCGGCGTTTCGGAACGAAAAGTCTCATCATAATATAATAAAGAAGTTGTTATCCATAAAGTATCGTACCTTTCTTATGACCTATAATGTTATAAAGGAATATTCGGTTTCCGAGCATTGGTCCGCAAATATCGGATAAAACTGGGACAATAGGTTGTGTGAAAGACATTGTAGGCAAGGTTAGTGGAACTAGAAATGTCCTGGACTTCATTGGTTGTTTGCACTCATAAATGTACTCGTACGTGAACCTAGCCTAAGGCATGACCTATTTTCTGTAAGTCGTAGAGTCAACATCTGAAGTGGTCAAAATGTAAATGTAAGTCGGTGTTTACCTGATCAGCATAACAATATAACGCTAGTATGGTCACATGGGTTTCAGTGGTCACATGCATGTGCTACGTTCCACGCTGTGACAAAGGATCTTATTGTCATTTAATTTGTCAGCACCGAACCCGTGCTTGTGGGTTTCATCATAGAATTAAACATCTGAGACCTGTATTGTTTCGGGCTCCCCCCCTCACATTCAGCTGACACGCTGTGATGTAACTGGAAAACGTTTAAACCTACTAGCGTCAAACCAAGCTAACTCACACTCAGGTGTTCCTCGGCAATATGCCTCTTTTCGACACTCACTTTCCATATTTGTTCATTCCAACGGTGCAAAATTATGAGACAAGCAGCCAGAGAATATACTACCATCGTCATAATATGTTTAATTTTGTCAATCAATTGGACAACAATACAACCATGTATCGCAAACTCTTTGTTTTGTGATAATAGCATATAACCATACCGATTATTTAGAGACTGCTTCCGCATACAACAATTATACATGTCATTACATATATGTGAAGACCCTAGCTAATGCATGTGACGTTGTTTTCTGGTTGAAATGTACAAAATAATTATATATACTGAGACACTAAAATCGCAAATTGATTAACTTTGAACTTGGCGGAAGTAGAACCAAGAATCTTTTACGGAGTCGGAGTTCGTATTAAGACACTTGTTGGCTGACATGATGTTCATTGTGCATATGTAAACCCTGTATAATCCATGTCCCGTGAGTGCGCAGAACTCACAAACAATCATAACGCCACTGGATTGCCATACGCAGGGATGTCTCAAAACCATTCCTGCTTGTCCTGTAGGAATGACGTGAAATGCAGAAATGGAAACAGCCCATGCTCGTCATCATAAGAGATACAGTTGTGGAACGTCGGCTTATCAGAATGACGTCCGTCCATGGCTGACCTATGGGAAAAACTCTTGCCATGTTCAACAACGTCCACAACTTGAGACTGCGGAGGTAACCAAACCTCTGTGTACCTGACATCCACACCACTATCTGCATTCACCGTTATGTTTGTCAGTGACATCCCATCTTGAAGCATACTCCAGAGCGTACACAGGTTAATGCCAGTCTCTCCTTTGAACCCACTGTAGAGGTAATCCACTAATATGTCTGTGACATATACTGTCAAAGTGACTCTTGAACGCTTGAATATTTGTCACGAAGCATTATGTCCCAGATTTTGAATTATATAACGAATTCAAATTACATTAAAGCTGTCAGTATACATGATATATATATCTGTGTCGGGGAGTCTACAAACTGTTTGCAGTTGATTTGAAGTTTTCCAGCTTCACATCCGCGGAGTTGGATTTTTCGGGCGTCATGCTAAGCGCGTAGTTTGTCTTCCTTGCTCTGTGAAGAAATCGACTTGTCTATTAAACAGATGAATTGTTGAAATAGAGAGCGTATATAAAGCAGGAGTTCATGGAAGTATCTAAATGGAAATACTACACACATGCACCTTCTCGCTAGACACCCGTTTACTGAACCAGTGAACGTTCCGTGTAGAATCTTTAATCACAAGTATATAAGATATGTCAGACATGGGAGCGGGGTGCTTGAGGGACGTGTGTTTCAAAGCTAAATTATATTTCTAGCTCGTAGGCTAAATCAGAGGGAGGTAGGTAGCTTATGGGCGATTATTGAATGGCATCAGCTCATCGATATACATGTAGTGGACAACAAAGATTCATTCAAACCCTCTCAATATTTGAGCATCCACATAGTATTAAGTTCTTTCTGTAAAGTCCTTCATTAGTTCATTAGAGATATGGTTCATCTTTGAGACAGAGATTTACGTGTTGCTATGGAGGTTTTGGAATCCAGAATGTTTTTCAGTTTTAGTGTCAAGTAAGAAGTTATTTCTGATGTAAAATTCGTCCCTCAGTAAATGTATGTGAACAGCTTGAAACAGTGGATGTGGCACAATAATTTAAGTAAATCTTTGAGTCTTGTTGAATCAGCATGATGTGAATTCAGCTTCTCTCAAGATAGGGAAACTTCTGCTTTGAAGACATCCCGTTTTAATTCCGTAAACCTATTGACTAAGAAACTCTTCTCGCTGTGGCTCGCCACGGCTAAGAATATTTACAACCCTACACATGCTCTTTTCATACACCATGGAAGAGGACATGCGCCGCCAATGGGCAGGCCAACAGTTGCTCCTTGCCATGCCAATGTGTGACACCGTTTCATATCCTCAAATACATGAATGTGTATCTATGAAACAAAATTAAACATAATTAACTAAATTCTACTTATTTATAGCGTTACTAAAAGACCTCGTGAAGAAATAAGTGGACTTATACGTACTTATACTTACTTGTACTTATATCTGGTGTTGTGATAACCAGGAAATGAGTTTTAAGGAAAGAAATTTTTGCTTGCCGAAGGTGAAATGTTTAATAATGTTCAAAAAAAGATGAATTATGTTTATAAGCATATTGAATTATGTGTCCTGATAATCTAGTTACACATTTGTGATTATGGTTTACCATGGGTCGATTTTCTTTATACAATGATAAAAGTATAAACAATACCAGCGCCTTGAGCATGCACTGGTGCATTGATATGTGCGCTGTATAAATATCCAATAATAGTAATAAAAAGTAAACTGAATCAAGTTAAATATATGTCAGGATACGTGTAAACACACCTTCATAACACGTGTCAGGATACGTGTAAACACCTTCATAACATAAGAACTGTTTTCATCCCCTGACGAAGTATTATACTAACGCTATAACATTGGTTGAGTTACGTTAAAACCGTTAAAATAGTTGAATTAGGTTCAGATGAGTTGAATAATACGTAAAATATCTATGTATATAAAAAAAGCAAAGCAAAACATTCTCGCCAGTCGGCCTGCCAATACAAATACCTTTCTTCAAGGTGTCCCGCACTTCCGAAAGTTTGAGGACAAATGGGTTTTCAGAAATATAATGGGAGGAGTATTTCATTGTATTAGGGATTGTGGCCAATCGCAAAAATAAGGATTTGCTGGTAACATTGGCCAGACCTAGAAATATATATATCTCTTGTAGAGTTATTTAAGGCAGCTATGGTACTACCAAATCAAAATCTGGTACATGCAATACTGACATGTGGTCTTGGCATATAGCTTGAAGCGAATATCTCGACAAGGTTGTGACAAAGATGGTACAGTGACCAATAACTATGTAGATTGTGAGAATGTTGTCAGTTTTCTGAAATCAAGGAGTTGGAATATACGCTAGTGGAAAAAGTAACTGTGCTTCAAAGTAAGTGTCACAATACTCGGCCAATAATCATCACCTCATCGACAAAGCCCATACTTGGTAACCTGAGATAGAGCGACACGCCCTCATGGAGGGATGGTGTAACAATTCAATTAACAATATCATTGCCATTAACAATAATGAGATGTATTCTTAAAAAAGTTGTGACGCCACCTCATGTTATTTACACCCTTCGAACTGACAACGTTGAGTAACGCAAGCGTTAGAGTGACATATTCAACATGGTCTTAGGTTAAATACCCTAGCAAACCGTAAAACACAACCTTGAGTAGCTGTTTTCATGAGTATGTTTTGAATTTGATTTCAGAATATATATTTTGAATTGGAATTTATATGAAGCACAGTTATTTTTTTTCATCTAGTATGCCTTATATTTTATGAATAGAATAAGTAAACTGTCTTACGAATTACATAAGTATACGGTCTTACGCAGTGCAATGATGTTTTCAATTTGTAAATATTATTTTCTGTTATTTAGATTTCTGATCCAGACATCAGTGTTACATGCGATCATTATCATAACTTAAAGGTACATACTTTCGCATGTTCTTTGCATCCTCTATTGTCTCCGGAAGTCTTCTTCTCAGAGTCTCTGGTAGGAACAGAGCCAGCACGCCTGCGGCAATGGACAGACCTCCAAACACGATGAGAGGCAGCGCCACCTTCAGGTCACCGCCAACTATTACACCCTATTCATTAAAAGAGAATAACTTCAGATATCACCGGAAACCCTTTTTTCAAAGACGAAAATTGAAGAGTATAAATATAGAACGTCCGTGCAAAAGTATACCCAGTCTTGACTAACCTCAGAAAGAAATACTTCCGTTTGGTGAATAGAGACTTATAGCAGTGAAAATGTTATGAATGGGGAACTGAAAGTCAGTAATGATACCAGGTGTTCGCGAAAAGGATAAGCATGTCCTGCTCTACCGAAAGCTCCCGCCAAACACCTTAGGCTAAATCTTTGAAGGGCATTTAGAAGTGGAATGCATAACAAAAGAAAGATTTATGGATTTCAACTTCTTTATTGTGAATAACACGACGTTTCGGAGTGAAGGCTTGCTCCTTCATCAGGTCACAACGACCCCGACCACCTGCGACAACATCTAAACGACCAGCATCCTAGAATCACGTTCACCATGGAAACAGAGAACGATCATCAACTCCCCTTCCTAGATGTCACCCTGCAAGCCACAGGCCATGGACTCAAAACTTCAGTCTACTTATATTCACCTGATAAAGGAGCAAGCATACACACCGAAACGTCGTGTTATTCACAATAAAGAAATTGACATCTATAAATCTTGTTTTTTACCATAGGCTAAGTTGCAAGCATGTCGTATTAGCAATGAGCACGCACGTTTATAATCGAGGTACTGTGTGCTGGATGTAAGTCTTGCTTTGCGAAAATGGTTTGATTTGAAATAGATTGTGGTGATGTACAAGATTTTAAGAGGCCTCCAGAAGTGTGCCCTTCATGTGGCAGGGCATTGATGAATCTGCACACACAAAATTCACATTTCTGAAGTCTCCCATTTTTTTCGAGAATACCATACGCATTTGTTTATGAATCGCTATCAGATTCATATTTTTCAAGCAAACTCACATCCCGCAAGTGTTGAATCATTGCATTGGCTTCCAGTTAAATCCTCCTTGGTTTTAAGCTTCTGTATATTGTATTGAATTGTATTCAGCACCAAGCACTAACATGTGTCTCTTAGATCTATATTGAGTACTTACTATTATAATCTTGACTAGTTATTATTATCGATCTTTATGACCAATGTATTTCGGCTTAAAAAAAGTTGGCTCGTGGCCGTATCTTACCAAATCTGCAATGTAAGGGGATACCGTCGCTCCAATCCTGGCGCAGAAGGAACTAACTCCAAGTCCGGAGTTTCGCACCATGGTAGGAAAGAGCTCAGTCGTGTATACGTAGACAATAGCGAATGATCCAGAGGCGCCGAACTTACCAATCATGGATAATGCGACTGTTACCCAGTCTAGTGCTGCAACGAAAAGCATTTATAGCAATAAAACACACTGCGTTATGCATAAGTGTGAGTGAGTTGCGTTATACGCCGCTTTTAGCAATATTCCAGCAATATCAGGGCGGGTTCTGCATAAAGGCTTAATCCTCAATTTCGTAACGTTACTATGGGATACGATTACATGTATCAATCAAGTGAGCGAGTCTAACCACCCGATTACGTTGGTTGCCTCATACGATTTACGTCCAGACACGATGTTTTGCGGACATGCGTCATACAGCTGGAAAATTGCTGAGTTAAACAACAAGCAAGCATACGGAAACTTATTACAATACTTATTACAAGCATACGGATACTTATTACAAGCATACGGATACTTATTACAATACTTATTACAAGCATACGGATACTTATTACAATGCTTATTACAAGCATACGGATACTTATTACAAGCATACGGATACTTACGGATACTTATTACAATACTTATTACAAGCATACGGATACTTATTACAAGCATACGGATACTTATTACAATACTTATTACAAGCATACGGATACTTATTACAAGCATACGGATACTTATTACAATACTTATTACAAGCAAAAGGATACTTATTACAATTCTTATTACAAGCATACGGATACTTATTACAAGCATACGGATACTTATTACAATACTTATTACAAGCATACGGATACTTATTACAAGCATACGGATACTTATTACAATTCTTATTACAATAGGATACTTATTACAATACTTATTACAAGCATACGGATACTTATTACTTATTACAAGCATACGGATACTTATTACAAGCATACGGATACTTATTACAATACTTATTACAAGCATACGGATACAAGCATACGGATAGATATTTATTACAATACCTATTACAAGCATACGGATTACAATACTTATTACAAGCACGGATACTTATTACAAGCATACGGATACTTATTACAATACTTATTACAAGCATACGGATACTTATTACAATACTTATTACAAGCATACGGATACTTATTACAAGCATACGGATACTTATTACAATACTTATTACAAGCATACGGATACTTATTACAATTCTTATTACAAGCATACGGATACTTATTACAAGCATATACTTATTACAATACTTATTACAAGCATACGGATACTTATTACAATACTTATTACAAGCATACGGATTACTTATTACACGGATACTTATTACAAGCTTATTACGGATACTTATTACAATACTTATTACAAGCATACGGATACTTATTACAATACAAGATTACATTACACGGATACTTATTACAATACTTATTACAAGCATACGGATACTTATTACAACTTATTACAAGCATACGGATACTTATTAGCAATACTTATTACAATACTTATACAAGCATACGGATACTTATTACAATACTTATTACAACGGATACTCTATTACATACGGATTATTACAAGCATACGGATACTTATTACAATACTTATTACAAGCATACGGATACTTATTACAATACTTATTACATACGGATACTTATTACATACTTATTACAAGCATACGGATACTTATTACAATTCTTATTACAAGCATACGGATACTTATTTATTACAATACTTATTACAAGCATACGGATACTTATTACAATACTTACTTATTACAAGCATACGGATACTTATTACAATACTTATTACAAGCATATACGGATACTTATTACAATACTTATTACAAGCATACGGATACTTATTTACTTATTACAAGCATACGGATACTTATTACAATACTTATTACAAGCATACGGATACTTATTACAATACTTATTACAAGCATATGGATACTTATTACAAGCATACGGATACTATTAGCATACGGATACTTATTACAAGCATATACGGATACTTATTACAAGCATACGGATACTTATTACAATACTTATTACAAGCATACGGATACTTATTACAATACTTATTACAAGCATACGGATACTTATTACAATTCTTATTACAAGCATACGGATACTTATTACAAGCATACGGATACTTATTACAATACTTATTACAAGCATACGGATACTTATTACAAGCATACGGATACTTATTACAATTCTTATTACAAGCATACGGATACTTATTACAAGCATACGGATACTTATTACAATACTTATTACAAGCATACGGATACTTATTACAATACTTATTACAAGCATACTTATTACAATACTTATTACAAGCATACGGATACTTATTACAAGCATACGGATACTTATTACAATACTTATTACAAGCATACGGATACCTATTACAAGCATACGGATACTTATTACAATACTTATTACAAGCATACGGATACTTATTACAAGCATACGGATACTTATTACAATACTTATTACAAGCATACGGATACTTATTACATTACAAGCATACGGATACTTATTACAATACTTATTACAAGCATACGGATACTTATTACAATTCTTATTACAAGCATACGGATACTTATTACAATACTTATTACAAGCATACGGATACTTATTACAAGCATACGGATACTTATTACAATAATTATTACAAGCATACGGATACTTATTACAATACTTATTACAAGCATACGGATACTTATTACAAGCATACGGATACTTATTACAATACGTATTACAAGCATACGGATACTTATTACAATTCTTATTACAAGCATACGATACTTATTACAAGCATACGGATACTTATTACAATACTTATTACAAGCATACGGATACTTATTACAATACTTATTACAAGCATACGGATACTTATTACAAGCATACGGATACTTATTACAATACCTATTACAAGCATACGGATACTTATTACAATACTTATTACAAGCATACGGATACTTATTACAAGCATAGGGATACTTATTACAATACTTATTACAAGCATACGGATACTTATTACAATACTTATTACAAGCATACGGATACTTATTACAAGCATACGGATACTTATTACAAGCATACGGATACTTATTACAATACTTATTACAAGCATACGGATACTTATTACAATACTTATTACAAGCATACGGATACTTATTACAATACTTATTACAAGCATACGGATACTTATTACAAGCATACGGATACTTATTACAATACTTATTACAAGCATACGGATACTTATTACAATACTTATTACAAGCATACGGATACTTATTACAATACGTATTACAAGCATACGGATACTTATTACAAGCATACGGATACTTTTTACAATACTTATTACAAGCATACGGATACTTATTACAATACTTATTAAAAGCATACGGATACTTATTACAGGCATACGGATACTTTTTACAAGCATACGGTTACTTTTAGAAGCCGCAGGCCCTACAGGTCAACCCAACCTTTCGAGGTTTATTCGACGTTACCAGCATTTGCGCAACTCACACGAATCTCCATAGATGACGGGGAACAATGTAGCCACACAGGCAATTCCGCCAATCAGCATGCAGCCACACTGAAGGAACTTCCTGCCGAGTCTGTCCAACATGCTGACACACATGATGTACGACAGGAGCTCCACGATGTTGGCGATGGTGAAGTTGACGTAAATGTCGCCGCTCAGGTTCTGGACGTTCAAGCCCAGACCGTAGTATACCATACTGACAACAAACCTGAAAATGGCATATTACAGACAAGATTCAAGATAAAACATGAATGGGATTTCGGTAATGTTCAAAAACAAGGTTCAGAGAATGTACTAATGTAATTATTCAGTAGCTCATCCTAGTCCGTTGCTCAGGGTAAAATTGAAGGTCAGTACACTGGAACTGATCAATACCTCAAGCATGAATCGTCCTCCTTTAAACCTTTTGACTTAAACATCGACATATGACGTTTAATACAATTATTTATATAAATTAAATTTGCCATAAGTAACTTACAAAAGTGTATTATTTATCAAATATAAATTATTAACACACATATCCAACAGAAAGGGATCATGAATATGTTTGCAGATTATTGTAATGAAATTATGTGGTTATTTCTTACTTAAGTATCAACAAAAATCATTAATCCTGAATTGTCTTACACAATATATATGACTGGAATACCATCTAAAGTCAATGCGATTTCCCTCACTGTTAAAGTACAGTGCTTTATTAAGGTTGATGAGTTGTTTACATCATACCAGTTGTAGAAGATGACGAGTGTAATGAACAGCAGGTACGGCGTTGTGAACATCTGTGTCACCCTCACGGACTTGTCCTCGTCCACTGTTAACTTCTCCAACATCCCGTCCGGAAGTTCAACGCCATTCGCGGACGCAATTTTCTTGATAACAACTTGAGCTTCTTCTATGCGACCACGTGATATCAGCCATCTTGGAGATTCAGGAAGAATCCTGTTTTAGAAATAGTACGTATATATAGATATGTTAAACAAGGTTGGTAGAGATAAGATGTGAATTGCGCAGGTGATTTCGACTGACGATCCTAATCCAGAGCTTGCTCAACTAAGTCAGCGTGGTCGTCCAGGGGAGGATACAGCTTTTCGAGAAATGGGGGTTGGGGTGTTGCACACTTTTGAAAAAGAGGGGATGCACACTTCATTTCCACGAGAGTATCAATGGTCTTTTAATAAACTTTCAGGAAAAGAGGGGGTGGGGGTGGGGGTGTGGGGCTATGTCGTCGGTCTATGCCATTGAAGTACACGTCTCCTTATCATGTCCCAGAACGGGGAAGAAGTTTGGACCTGTATCCATAGTCAACATTTTTGGTTTGTTGGTACCTTTTCTGTTGTCTGCAAATCATAGACTGTGAAATATCGAACGTGTTGGCTATGGAACGCGGACTGTCACCAGTGTTCATCAGGCCCATGTGGGCGGTGTTTTAGCCCAGTGGTCAAACCGTTTGCTCGTCACCTTGAAGGCCCGGGTTCCATTCCCCAAAGGGTACAATGTGTGGAGTCCATTTCTGGTCGCAACGGGCAGGGATATTGCTGGAATATTTCTAAAAGCGGCGTAAAACCCAACTCACTCACTCACTCACTCAGCAGGCCTATAGTCTATAGCTTGGAATGGCACATTCCGCACGTGTATAGCCATACATAGTGCGGCAGGTGCATTTTGACAGGGTTTGCATAGGAGCTTTGTTATAATGCTTGGAGAGTCATGTTTACTTTACGATCCCTTATCTACGTTTAGAGGAAACAACCTTACAACCGAAATAAGAGAGCTTACCAATAAAACAAAATGTAGAGAGCAGTGGGGCAAGCAACGATAAGCTGGAGATGTTGCCAGTTTCGGACAAAGTAGGCAAAAAGACTCAAGGCAAACAGACCAATGCACCAGAATATCTCCACGATGATTCCCACAAACACTCTTCTGGAAGGTCCCGTCAGTTCCATTACTAAAAAAATTAAACAAAGCATATGTGTCAGCTTCGATGATTAGACTTAACACATATTTTGTAAACAGTAATGGTAAATATATTTGCTGTCTTGTACTAATGAGAGCAGGTCATTTTCTTTAATACAAAACGTCAATGCCAGAGAACAACCAGTCTATACTATCCGATTCGATCGTGACAAATAGTATCTAAATATAGCCAAACTTACGATGAACGTTAACTTTCAGTAAAGGTATATTCTATTGATTAAGCATTTCATGCAGAATGTGCTGGTGACGTGTCCCGCTGGCGAAAGAGGACGCGCCTACATTTTTAGCGACCACCTGGTGTCTTTATTGATTTTCTGTGTTTCCTTTGTATAATTGTCTTTATGTTTGGCTCTTTACATAGAAAACCGAGACCGACTATTACTTGCTGTCGACGACTCATGGACATGGGTGTTAAAACTAGTGTTTAGATTCCACATGAGATATACTACCGACAAAAAATAAGGGAACTGATGAAATGACAGTGAATGTGTAATTGCTCTAAATGTCCACAAAATCAATTTCGGGCGTGAAGTTCAATATCTGGTGTGTCCACCATGTTGGGCGACACATACACGACACCTTGATGGCATACTGTTGATTAACCTCCGGATGGTTGCCCGTGGCATTGCCCGCCATTCCGCCTGAAGAGCTACCCCAAGCTGGGCTGGGATCTCTGGCGTACACCCTCCGGCCGAGAACGTCCCACAGATGCTCAATGGGGACATGTCTGGGGACTTAAAGGGCCAGTCCAATGTCGGAGATAAGCGGTGACGACTTGGGCACGATGTGGTCTGGCATTATCATCTTGGAATATAAAATTTTTCTGCAGATAATTTTAGCCAGTGCAGCCACGGCAGGACGCAAAATTTCGTCAACATATAACTGACCAGTCAATTGTCCATTAACGATGACCAGACCCGATCGCTTGTCATGTGTAATACCGCCCCACACCATGACACTGTGGTCAATAATTGCCGCTCTGGCATACTGCTTACCGCTACGGTGCCAACAATGTTTTCTGCCATCTGTGAATCAGAGGCCAAATCTTGACTCATGAATATGATGTAGCGCAAAGCCCGTCCCTGATGCTGCCCAGCCCACACCAATCTTTGGTGCCTATGGTGAGCTGTGAGGGTGACACGCTTCAAAGGCCGCCTGGCGTTCAGACGGGCTTGATAGAGTCGGTCCTTAACGGTTGATAATGAAATTCGTCGTCAAGTTGTACGGAATTTCCTATTGATAGCAGGTGCTGATTTGAACCTATTGCGTAGGGACATTAATGTAATGAGAAGATCCTGTCTAGGTGTCGTTGATTTTGGTCTACCACACCCAGGTCTCATTGCAACCCCACCCGTTTGACGGTACTTGTCCCACAGGCGTGCAATTACACTTTTAGATTTACCCAACATTCGGGCAACTTGGCACAGTGGTGTTCCCCCCTCTATCATACCCACAATTCTCCATTTTGTCTGTTCATTGAGATACTGCCTCAGAGGCATTTTTCAAGGTGTGTTCACCTCACTTGCATTAGTGATTGTGAGTTCTCCAATGGGTGGATACAGTTTAGCTTCTGTGTGCATGTGCATCACGTGTTGTTTATGCATCATGTGGAATTTCATTGTGATTGGATGTTGCGTTCAGCTGCAACGCCAGGGTATTTCACACGTGCACCTCAACGTTAGCTGCATTCAAATTCTTAGTTCCCTTATTTTTTGTCGGTAGTATATATTAGCAATTGCTATTACTGACTTGCATGTTCGGCTTTTCATAGATTGAACTCCAATTATAACTTTCTCACATAAAGTTGAAATAGGTCATGATTCTTAAATTCACTTCTGTTTTCTAGATACAGGAAAGAGGTGATATGTATAGCACATATTTACCCAGAACGAAGGAAATTGTGAAACAGGCTATCCTCGTCATATTGGACAGCGCTCGGAGAACCATGTAGACGTAGATGTTAGGAGAGTACGCAGTGCTGATACTCAGGATCGCCACACACACAGCATTGAACATGAAGACAGGTCGGCGCCCAAACCTGACAAATATAAACATCGTGGTTTTGTCGCATTCTTAAAATTATAGTAACTACTGCTTTTTTATAAATGCAAATACTGCGTTTCAATTGCATGTTTCGATTGAAACATAATAAAGATTTTGTTAATCACTGTATGTAGTTAATCCACATCCTCACGCTAACTCAGAATATAAAGTCCGATGTAGAATACCAAACAACTGACTAAGTTGCAATAGCTTAGAACATGCTTCAAACGATGTACCATGAAATCCGATTTGTAATTTGCTAACCTGTTACATGTACATAACAGTTCGTTGTGTGGTGAACTTGGATATAACAACCCGATGTGTAGGCATTTACACCCGCACTGTACACGTACTGTACATGTATGTACACGAAATCCTCGTTTTAATGCTAAGTTAAATGGCACCACTCACATGTCTGATAAAAGTCCCATAACGAGAGTTCCAGCCATCTGCCCCGCGAATGTCGCCATGTTTGCGTGTGACCTCAGAATACTGTCTTCACAGACTATGTTGAACTAATGAAACAAGACAGAGACATACACACGATATGTATCACACGGGCTTGTTAATGTCTCAGTTGATATAAATGCATTTCATTCTGGAGATGTTTCGAATATGTCACATACATTAGTACCATCACCGGCTCAGGAAAGAATATGATTTGTGAGGAGAGGTTAGTATACGAGGATTGTGATTATATATTTACGTACTATTCAAGAAATTGTAATGAAAAAACAGGACTCTTCCATTTTACTTTCAACAATCTGGGGATGTTCTGATTTCGGAAGTAAATAATCTCATAAAAAAATTGCCACTTCAAAGTTTTAGCTGCTTATCGTGTGTCTGCGTCATTCAGACTCAGTAACAACGTCTCACTCAATAATAGACCTACAAAAGTCCAAGCGAACAAAAGACATATTTTTGCTTTAAAGACATTACCTCCTCGATCAGCGTTGATTCATACGTGGACCGATCAAACACCCAAGCGCTGCACGGAGCTGTCTGGTTGTTTGGTTGGCTGCCATTTTGAGGGTACTGGTACATTTTACAGGAGGAGAGCACCTGCTTGTCTCTGTCTGTCTCCCAGGGGATGGACATGTTGATGAGGTAAGAATGATGAGCATCCTGCACCTGGTAGGTGTCGTTAACCCCAAGGGAGCACCTGTTTAAGTATTTGTTGACGTAATCATTGTCATCCTAAGCTGGTGTAGAATCTACCAAACTGTTTAAACTACCCGGCAACATTGTAGAAGAAATAGATGCATATGAATACACAAAGGCTCTATCTATAATGCAGTCATTACTCAATATATGATATGGATATCAATTCAATATAAACTTATATATCAAATTGAGTGAACCAGTTTGATTAACACCGTGTTAGTTTAGCTACATCATGGAGTCAGCTGGGCGTGGAGAAGAAGTCCAAAGTACGTGCGTCTGCCAGTTTGGCGTATGAAAAAAGAGACACATAATCAGGGCCAACCGGGAATCAAACCCAAATCATGGGTTCCTTCGGCCCCAAAGGGACGCAACAGCGTACGGCGAGCACGAACGACTTGGGCAAACATGACCCTGGACAGTAAACATCCTACAACGTGATCTGGTGTCAGGTTCGCTGAATTCTTCCTGCGTGTCATTGTGTCCCAGGTCGCCTTGTAATGTTACTCGACCCTGTTGTCCAGGCTAGCTTATTTATAGACCACCGCCATGCAACTGGAATATTACTGAATGTGGGTTTAAACAACAAACTTGATCACTATCCACCATCTTCATAATCTGCTCCCATTAAGCAGCTATTATGTTGAAGTGTATATGTTAACTTTCATATTTCGATCTGCTTCTGCGAGCAGAATATGTTACCCGGAGTAACGGCCGGGGACTTGGGCGTTACCTGAACTACTTTCATTCACGCCTGAAACATGAAACTCATCATAATGTCTGTGATGTGAGAATATGGATCTATATTTGTTAGTATCTTGATGAAAGGTTTACTTCGCATTCCGGTTATGCTGGTCAAGTGCCAGCACAAAGAACCAATAGTGTCACTTCCACCACCAATAATGCAGAGAAAAAGCAACTCGGAGAAGAAATCCAAACTCCCCATCCGCAACCACCAGGGTTAGAACTGATCTTCAGCAAACCATGCTTGTCGCAAGAGATCGAGGGGTCAGGACTGCTGATGCATATCACCCTGTTCTGAGAGCATAGACTGATGATGTCCAACACTGGATTGTCTGGTCCAGACTATACAGAACTTAGTCATATATTTGGAAAACTGTTGAGGGTTGTGTTTAAGAAGCCAGAAAACATACAATAAGAACTTGCCAGCCGAGCCAAAATCGTAGGAGATCGCTGGAGCAGGCATGTTTTATTAGAAGTTGAGAGTTGTTCGAGCAAACTAGCTGTACCTAGACACGAAATGTATTGCTGACACTGCAGTCAAAGATAAACGGTATTGTGGGCTGACATCATATCTGACAGTATGAGTACACCTTTGTGTACAAGATGACATCAGGTCACAGTATCTCTTATCAGGACACTCTCTGCTAATTAAGCTTTTTCGGATGTATTTAAGAAAAACCAAAAAAAAATAAAACATGAGTAGATTTGGCTCGCCCTAACGATTATAACGGACAATGACGTTCCATCCACGTAATTTCAACACCATGACGTACCATGTACGCACTGTCAGCACCATGACGTATCACCTACGTATAGTCAACACCATGACGTACCACCTGCATACAGACAACACCATGACGTACCACCTACGTACAGCCAACACCATGACGTACCACCTACATATAGTCAGCATCATGACGTATCATGTACGTAGTGTCAACACCATGACGTACCACCTACGTATAATCAAACCATGACGTACCACCTACGTATAATCAGCACCACGACGTACCACCTACGTATAGTCAGCACCATGATGTATCATCCACGATCTGTCAGCAACGTGAAATACCACCCACGTGCTTTCATCGACATAACCACCCACGTACAGTTATCACCACGAAGTACCCCCAATGTATTGTCAACACCATGACGTACCACCCTTCGTACAGTCAACACCATGACGTACCATTACGTACTAGCAACATGACGTACCATGAATTGTTATTGTAGAGAAAGAAGTCTTTAAATTTGTGAGATAAATCTATATATACTCTCGACTATACAGGTCATGTGAAATCCAGAACATTACTATATAACACAACCACAACTTGGAACTGCCTACCTACAGACTGTATGACGCACATCCAGAACAGTTATGCAATATAGTTTGCGTAGAGATCCGCCAAGGTCGAGGTTAAACAAGCATGTTTTACATCTCTGAATACACAGTTGTTTACAGACGCTTTCGCGTGGAAACACTGCTGTGCTTTGTCAGACAACAAACAACAACTTTTTGTGAAGAATGTGTGAGCAAAGACGACATGAGCTTCTTTAGGCGGACACCTGGTGTCACTACTGAGTTTCGGTGATCCCAAATAGTATGTTCATACCTATTTGCCTTGAAATCTGTTTTGACAGATGATCGACACTTATCATACTCTGGGGTCGACATTTCAAATATTGACATAACGTTGAGGAAGACACCTGATACAAATTTAAACTGCAAGACTAGTCGGGAAATGTTTGTCTGTGAAACGAAACACGTGGTGTTGTCATATGTAATGCTCGTGTAGCACCTTGTCATACTTTGTAGCCATGTGATGACATCCAGGAGGTGGCTGCCTTCTAAGTGCTATATCGCCTTTATCATGGCGAAACATGAGTACGTTGCCCTCCAACTGTGCCTGTAACAAATTGTCCCATAGTCCTACAGCAACATTGGGGTAGCCCCATGGTTAAAGCGTTCGCTCATCACGATGAAGACCCGGACTCCATTCTCCACGTAGGTACAATGGGATCCCCGCCGTGATATTGTTGGGATATTGCTAAAAGCGGCGAAGTGATATACTCACTCACTATAGCAAAGCGTTTTGGAGAGTTAAGACGTCTTACTGCATATATAACTGAATGGTTGGATTTGGAAATCAACCAGTGAATCAGTTAATACTCAATACAGAAAACACTCCACAGTCACACAAATCGTTTTTCGTTCCCAAAATGAACATGACCATCGAAACTGTACTTGAATCTATCATCTTCAAATAAAAAATATTCAGAACACGACAGACACGCAGTTACACGACCGTATGACACTCTTGTCAGTCGGGTCAAATTAAGCATAATTGCAACCAGGTCACATGGATGTTGTACACAACACAGGCGTGTACGTGAATACTCTATTGTGGCAATGAAAGAACGCCACGGTGAGACGGAAAAAAGACATCTGGGGCTTGACAACCTGTCCTCATCTGGGACAGCTTCATCTGGGGCTTGACAACCTGTCCCTTTCTGGGACAACTTCATCTGGGGCTTGAGAACCTGTTCCTATTTGGGAGAGCTTCACCTGGGGCTTGAGAACGTGTCCCCCCATGTGGGACAGCTTCATCTGGGGCTTGACAATCTATCCCCATTTGGGACAGCTTCATCTAGGGTTTGACAACCTAGTCCCCCATTTGGGACAGCTTCGTCTGGGGCTTGCCAGCTTGTTCCCTTGTGGGACAGCTTCACCTACAGCTTGACAACCTGTCCCCCCATTCGGGACAGCCTTGTCTAGGGCTTGACAACCTGTCCCCAATTTGGCAGATCATGAGTGATTCACTTCTGTTCTGAGTATAATCTAGTCATCACAGTGTTCCGTAGCAGGCCTCTTGCACTGTGTTAACACATGAAATGCTTCTTCTGTTGTTATTGTTCCGTTTTACTATGTATAATACATAAAAACAACAAAACCGTCTCGATAATACTCAATAGTCTAAGAGCCCTTGCGCAAGTCTGACTCTATCATTAGCATGCGTTCATGAATCACTATCAAATAGTTTCGATATTAAGTGTTTGAAACATCAGGTGTTATATGCATTCACAGGTTTAGGGACGTTAACATCGACGGGATTTTAACTTTATTCCACAACTGAAATGGGACATAGGTTCGCAGTTAGATCAAGAAACTGCAATTAATAGCATGAGTCAAAGTAAGTCATCAATGTCTTCATTAAATGATTTGTGTTAATCGATTTCGCTGGGTTTGTGAAATATATCAGACGTGTAAAGAATGCATACCTGTGATCTGGGATATCCAGCTGAAACACCACCGAAAGGGCTTGCAAACCACTCATGATTGCTGGTAAGCATATTAAAAAGTACAGTCTCTTTTGATACCAGCCAAAGTCGCCAAGATGCGCTAGAACTTCGTCAAACTTCATGCTGCCTTGTGGGATAGAGTAGTCCTGCCTACTGTCACCAGACACATCTATGTATACAAGCAGGTAGTAAGTAGCACAGCCTCTTCCCCTCAGCCTGTCACTGCTTAATATTCAGGTTGTGGAAACAGGTTCTATTAGAGTAACAGCAGAGGTCAGCAAAATATTCCTTTGATTAAACTATATAATCTTCCAAAACATGTAGATGAAGACATGTCCCGACTTAAAGGTCGTGATTTTCAGTTTGCACATGCATGTTTATGCATGGATGAAATTTTGAGCATGGTGTTCACACACGTGTTTTCTTAATATGAGCAATGATTTAGAAGAAAGACAATGGTAACGAGGAAACCGCCAAGCATCGGAAATGTATGTACGTGAATGTTTGAAGATTACAGCAAAGAATGTAGGAGCTACAGGTCCAGTATGCAACATATTATATAACCTTCCAGAAAGTTTTTCCAATACTTTAGGTCAACATTTCAAAGATCTGTGTGTGCGTAGCATGGAAAGTAGCTTTGATAATTGTTTTGCTCAAGAACCTAAGCGCCCAGTATAAAATATTGAATGTTTTGAGAAAAGTGAACAGAATTCAAAAGTTGACAAATGAAAATGTAAGATTTATACCTCTTTTCTAGTTTGGCATTTGAAACGATTTCAGTCAGCAGTTCTCTCACTTGTAGAAAGTATTGCATGCAATAACGAACACGATTCACCAGTCTGTTGTGCCTTTCTGGACAAGGAGAATGCACTTGACCGTGTTTGACCTCTCGAACCATTTTATGAATCATACAGTCAAGGAACTACTGGGAAACTCTGGAACATACCACGTTTCTCCTTGACTTCTATATAGTCAGGTATATGCTTTGCTGATTTAAAGTCTGATCTGTTTCAATTAAACAAGGGATGAGCCAAGGTCGTGTCGTGTATGCGTGTCTATTGTCTTTATATAAAACTGATCTATTTATGAACTTTCTGGTTGTGGTCTGTCTCGCTTGCAGAAAATACCCAAACCTAATTCCATGAAGTAACTGTCTACAATGTAGTTAGTAAATGCATAACAGACAAGATAATATCTCTACACATTTAACAAGATGAAACAGACTGTGGACTCTCGTTCCTGAGACACAACAGAGATTAACTGACATTGCCATAATAAAATATTCAGGTGTACGTCCTACAGAATCAAGGGACGTTTAATCATGACATTACCAGACATGTTTTATATCATGCACGATATCGTAACGTTCTTGACATAGATAGTTTTGTTGACGTGTGATGGAAGGCGGTGATATATTCTTGTTCTTTCTCCTTGGAGGGATGCCTGCCCATTATAAAGATTAATTAAATTACAACATTTGGTCAGAATTGCTGTTGACCGTGAACTCCCCAGTTCCAAGTTGGTACAGTATTCTTCGGTAATGTTCTGAAATATCCATAATTCCTCCTAACAGTGAGATTATTGTAAAGCATTACTCTAATGGTAATATCCTTTCTTAAAACGTATGATGTTTATATCAATGTAATCTTCATTTTAAGGAGGAAGAAAAGAATAGCCATCCATCTGATATTTTATGTGCTTGTTTGGAGCTCACGGATGTGGCTTGTGAATGCGATCATTGATTGTGTAGCTATGAGATACTTATCAAACACTTTGTTAGCAGTGATCATGCTAAGGAATTGCTGAAAACCATCATATATTGCTCTATACAAAGATGCTAGACATTTACATGTTCGCTGACATACTATATGATCTCTGTTCACCTTACCTGTAACAACAGGTCGACACTTACAACTTGCCACATGTATATAGGTAGGCTCATGTGTGTGCGTGTTTGTGTGCGTGCGTGCTTGTGTATGCATGCATACAGGCCACGGCTTCAGCCCTTGTCAAGGGCTCACATGAGGTTGTACACACATGTGTATGAGATTTCTATTGACTTTACCCAGTTCTGCATTACTTCACAACAGAGCACCTGCCAATACTGACCTCAGACTGGGGTAGTATGGGTACATCGTTCAACGAGAATGTTTACAGAAGGTATATGATACGATACAGTCCTTTGAATACTTTTGTACGATCTTCCACGATCATCCTGTTTGTCAGATAAACACAGGACGATCATGTCTGCAAACAAAGGGTCACAAATATAGGACACCGCGTAACAGCACTTGAAGGGAGTTCGCTCACTTGAAAACACTTCACTCTTGCTGAACTGGACGGGAATTTCCAAGTTAGGTTTTGTCTTCACTAACGAATCTAAACATGGTCCGACAAAATCTGGTTCGTAAAACAAAGGATTGCAAAGATAGGCAAAGCCATCAACCGTCATCTGGACGTATACACATATTTCCCAAATCTTTTAAAGTATTTTTATTAGGTATTTCGCGAGGAAAGACCAGTTCCTTTACGCAATAGATCTTGATTGTAGGCTTGCCGCCATTTTGTTTGAAGCAAATGCAAGTTAAGTGAATCTGATTGGCCAATAGAAGGGATAGAAATCGTAATTCTAGCAACAGTAGGCAGGGATGGAAACTTGGCTTTTTTCCACAGTCATTAGTTAAGATGTCGGTAAACAACGAAGAAGGGTTAACCTGAAACACAGAGCCGTCAAAAGTTGTATTCCTGGCTCCGCTTATTCTGAGATTGAATCCCGAAATCGTCCCGTCATTGGTGTCAGCACCATAATGATGAGTCCATTTGTAATGCGCTAAACTCCACGCCAGAAGGTATGCTCATAGTGCTACAGATTTGACTAGCTCACTAGATTTCTTAAAGAGGAGGGTCTTTACGTCTGACTTGAAAACATCAAGACTTAGTGTTCTTTTCAACTCTTTCAGATCTTAGTGTTCTGGTTGGGTGATATTGCTCACAGAGGTACGGTGGTGCTGTACCATATAGACATCTATATGCGAGTTTTTGTACTGTGAATTCTTTCCTGGCTTGAATAGGCAACCAGTGTATAGTCTTTCGGACAGTTTGTATGTGGAAGAACGTGGGTGTAAGCGTGCTGCAGTGTTCTGTAGATGTTGAAGTCTTTGAATGGATTCTTGTGATATTCCAGACTAAAAAAACTATTGCATTAGTCTAGCCAAGAAAATATGAGGAAGCGGACCAAGGCTGCTGTGCAGAGCATCCCTGGTTATCAGGTGCCTGATGGTGCCGATATTCCTGAGATGGAATACCTTGGGGCATAACTTTTTATGTTCGTGACAAGTGACAATAAACCATTGCCCCATTTTTTCATCTGAAATGATGCTTAAAACAATTTTACAACAATATTATAGTCTCGGGCTTTACACCTCACGAGGGCGGTCTCTGCATGGTGAACACATAAACACATGAATAATCGATGTTAATATCTTATTACGTCCCATATGCGATATGTGCTTTCTGATGAATTTTTGCCAAGTCACTGTTATCCCGTTGTTGATTCTAATACTTTTTCCCTATCCTGCGATGTCATCAGTATGTTTGACAAATAAACACATTGCGCCTCTCCTGCCTGGCCACAAAAGGATCACACTGATACTGACACCGCATGACACCGCGAGACACTGCATGATACCACGTGACTACGCGAACCTCTCGAACGAGATGGCAGAGATAGGTTATACGGCATTCTGATGAGGAGTCAGTGCTGAGGTGGAAAAAACGAAAAACAAACAAACGCAAAGGTTTCGATTCACTCGATATGAAATATACTAGTCTTCATTTTTATTTCGGTGACAAAGACAGAAGTGTTAGATGATGATCTACAAGTTGTGCTCATTCTTATGCTTGCATTTATAGTTGAAGTACCTGTAAAATTCTTCTTCGTGTGTAAAAAAAGCTATGAAACTAGCTATAGCGCAGGTATATACTTGTTTTCAGTTTGCAGCGTTAAACAAAATTCAAACTGTAATATGTTTTGTGCTAGAGTCTTGAGGTGAAACAGGGTTGGCAGAAGTATTGCTGTGTGGTGTCGGGCAATAAATGCTACTTTTTCATGCAAATACTGTGAATGACAGGTGCTGCCGGGAGGACATGCTTACCCTTTTTGCGAACACCTGGTGTCATTACTGATTGTCATGGGTTTCATCATATACTTTTTGCAACTATTTTGCCAGTTTTCCTTTTGCACATACATTTCATATTTATCGCGTTCAAACGTATTGCACTTATATAGGTATGTATGAGTGTGAGTGTTCCTGTGTGTAGGTATTGCCGCTCTTTATGGTGTCAACCCTGTAAGATACCGTGCGGCAGTTGATGAATACCCACCTCGAACACAGTACTCGGAGTCCGAGCCGATCAACCCTATCTTTATCCCCTGAATGCCTCATGCTGAGCAGAGTAACATTCAGTACAGTTTCATATTTCTTAGGGTATGTCTCGGCTAGTGATGGAACTCCCGGCCGTCATCTTTCCCCAGAGACGCTCAACCCATTTGCTGGAGTGACATCCAGTGGGGTAGGGTGTCGATATACAGCCCACCTCAGCCTTTCCTAGATAGCTAAACGCATGGGGATCGGGCTCAGACCACATGTATGCAAATTATACAACACATTTCTCAAGAGCTCTCAGAACCAAGTATCGCCTTACAGTCTTTTCAACGGTGGAGTATACAGGTAAATAAAAGCGATTAAACCTTTTCCACATCCATAAGAAATCTCTGCTAAAGGCACAGTCTATTGTACAATTGCAACTACATCATAAGCATGTGTTTGTTTATCGTTTAGAGGTGTCTTTGTATAGTTGATATAGAAGGGATATTTCTTTTTATATAGACATATATTATTATTTGGATTTTTTGAAATTAATGTGTTTTAGCTAACGGTGTTGCCAACATCTATAATACTTACTCATTCAATTCAAACCGTATTAATTATCAGTCTCCATCGAAAAGATAACATAAGGCGTAAAATTGTCATCACTTGAAATACATTAACCATGACACAAGGCGAAAGGAACAAGCATCCACCACAAATATTTTCACGGGTTTGGTATTGCCTAACGCCACATTTAACCCTACTCTTGCCATACAACGGCGGCCTGTAAACAGTGTCGACCAGGGCGTCCAGTTATCAGTATAATTAATAATGATCCATGTCACTGACACAGCCATCTTGGGCAACTGTAGCCAGATTGAGATAATGTCATGTAGCTCGGGACAGGCTGTACTGTAAGTATGTCTTCAGAGACACATCTAGAGTTCAACTTCCAGAGGCACATTTGTACGCGTTCCTTGTCTGTTACCGTAAAGCCAAACGCATAATCCATGCGTTGTGTTTGTGTGTGACAAGACTATCTATGACCAGTTTGTGTAGACCGAAGTATGCATTAAGGTCAGATCCGCTCGGTATCGTGTATGTCACCACATATGGAGTTACAATGATGATTGTAACATATTCCTTACAGAACACCTAGCTGTCAGTTCGCCCATCCCTTTGCCCGAAGAAGTTGCTGGGATTAAAGTGACAATGAAGTTTGATACAATATTAGAACATTTGGGGGAGTTTGGCCCCTATCAGAAACGCATGTACCTGATGGTGTGCATACCTGCCATCACGTGCGCCTTTCAGTCGCTGTTACCTGTATTTACCATGGCTTTTCCGAATTTCAGGTAAGTTGTAAAGAGCACTTTTAGAACTCAAGTAAGATGTATTATGAATCTGAATCAATATAGAATCAAAGAGCAATTCATCAAGGATACTGCTTAATGAGTGAGTGCCTGGCGTGCCAAACGGACGATTTGCATTTGATTTAACTCAACATTTTCCTACAATTTAGAGCTCGTATTTTTGGAATCCAGGTGTGCAGTTCCAGGATTGGCCAATGATACCTACCAGAGCCAAGGTCAAGGTCATGGCATGACAGTGAACGGCAGTATCCCCTGGGAACGCAATGACGACGGCGTAGCGACTTTGTCACAGTGCAACGTGTACAAGAACTTGACAGCTGGCAACCAGACACAAGAGTGTACATCCTGGGTGTACGACAAAACCACCTTCACTTCCACAACCCAGTCAGAAGTAAGTTTCAATTACCACTATGGGAATGCTGTATATCAACCCCAGAAAAAATGAAACATTTACGCTTAACAAGGTACATTTCATAATTTAAGGTCAAATGTGCCACAGATTTTACACCTGGATTTGAACTAGCGGCCACATGCTCCAGGCACGGCTAAGGTACGCGACTCCAGGATTAGACTTAATAGCGTTATGTCACTCTAGTTCAAACGTTAATCGAGGTTACAGTATTGGAGGTCTAACGCTTCCAAAATTATTTATGGTAGACACGACATCTCCACGCATCAATACGATTCAGTGTAATTTGTTATACCCTGTGTTCCCGGTTTCTGTCAGGTAAACAATAGACTTTGCAATTGCATGTGTTACCAGCTGTTGTCATCTCCATTTGAAACACAAACATAATTGCACTATCCACAATTAATATTTACTGGAATTAATACCTGTTTGGACAGTGCGTTTATGAAGTTCAAAAACAAATGATCCACGTTTACAACTTTTACAAAGTGTTCTTTACAAGTTGTTTTTGCAAGTTTTATAAATACAAAGGCAGTCTGGTGTTCGAATCCACGACAACCATAATGCAACAGCGGAAGGACGTCATTGGACGGCAAAGGACGCCGTGGCATAAGGGTGCAATAGTCACACAAAATATATTTACGCCTCGTCTATACTTCAGAAAAGTCACTTCTACTCATTGTTGTGCTTCTGTCTCAGAAAAGAATCTATTTTTATCATTTACTTGTTTCTATGCAGTTCAACATTGTGTGTGATAACAAGGGATGGCGAGCCACATCTAACTCCATAGCTTTTGCGGGTAGGCTGACCGGGGCGTTCGTGTTCGGTTTGTCGTCGGATTTGTAAGTTGATCCCTTTGAGTTATATTTAAGTTGTATGGGTTTTGTGTATGCGTACTGCTGACATTGGGGCGGCCCAGAGTTCCTTCTATGAGTGGCATATTTGGGAAGTATAATGTTGACAAACATCGATGCAGTTTCTTGATCAAGATTGTCAAAGTTGTACAAGATTCTGTATCGAAACGTCACACACACGAAATAAAAAGAAGTTGTTATCCATACAGTTTGTCAATAATGACAAACCTGTCAAGCTTGGCAACAGTATAGGAACCTTTATCGAAACGTTGCACTCACGACATAAAAGAAGTTGTCATCCATAAAGTTTGTCAATGTTAGACCAGACATCGGCTAACACTAGGTACCTTTGACCAGTGGGTCTGTCGAAGAGGCATTTACATCGTAGCAAATAGTAAAAGAGTGTGTTTGAATATCTATTACTTAGGTTCTCGCCAGGTTCATCCAAGTCATGGTACTTTATCTAAAGTACAATATGGGATGGGTGGTCCGGTATGTGAGACGTGCAGAGTTGCGTTAACGTACCACAACCGCGATCATGGGTTCGAATCCTGGTTCCCACGATTAGGTTTGTCGGCACCAAACCCATGCTAGTGACTTAAACCAAAGTGGTAAAAGTCTGACACCAACTCCGAATCTTCCTCTCACATACAGCTGGCACGCAGTCATGTAACTCGAATACTGTTCTTGCATACAAAATTACCTATTGGGGAATACAAAAAATCTTCACTCAATGTTCGGTGTCCTTGTAGCCACGTTGTGTGTTTATTACGAGATACAACGAACTTTCCTACTTTCAGGTTTGGTCGGAAAATAACGTTCTTTTTAGGTGTGTTACTCCACTCTGCTTGTGGTATCGGAATAGCCTTTTCTCACAATATGATGACCTTTAACGCCTTGAGGTTCACCGAGGGCATGGCTGATTCCGGTCTCTACATGGTGGCATATGTCATAGGTCAGTCCATGTAATTATCACCATTTATTGTTTCTACTGGAACACCCATATCTGTTCACCAGATTTGTTGTATGTCATCCGGAAATTTTGTTCGTAAGATCCACCCCTCTTGGCTTTGTCATTATATTGTTACCGTTGTACATTCTCCCACTTCCCGTTGCGTAAACATGTTCTATCTATATATATTCACTCTGTTCCCCGAGTCAGCATTCACCTGATGAAGGAGCAAGAATTAGCTCTGAAACGTCATATAAAGAATAAAGAGTTGGTATTCATAAAAAGTGTCATGTATTCAGATCTATTGTCAAGTTATGTGCTGAAAATTATTTCTTCTTACTTTCAGGGATGGAGTTTATAGGACCATCAAAGCGAGTGATTGCAGGAATGGTCATTGACCTGTTTTGGTGTCTTGGTTTGTTCATCCTCGGCGCCGTTGCCTATTTTCTGCGAGACTGGCAACATTTGCAGCTGGCTCTCTCTGCCCCTTCAGCACTGATGCTAATAATGTGGTGGTTAGTGCGATACAAAGTTTAACTTATATGCTTGTCTTGTTTTGCAGGTTAATAAATGTAAGATGCTTGTAATGGTGTATATTTCTCGGGTTTGCACTATTCCTCACAATATATTGATTCACGCGTGCGTGTGGACGCTAAGTCACAAATAATACTGACTAAAATACGACAGAAACATGCGATGATTGTGAAATTATGACTATAACATAAGCTTTTGTAAATGAATCATTGTCAACTAGTGAAGATACCAGTTGTTGTTTTTTAAAACCTACCCATTGTCACCCATCGCAAGCACACGTAAGTCAAGACAAGTGTTTACATGTACAAACACGGACGGAAACATATGATTGTACGAGGCAAGAATGGAAATTGCAGGTGATATTATTGCATTTTGTCATCATATAATCTCTTTCTCGCAGGTTTATTCCCGAGTCTCCACGATGGCTGATGTCACGTGGGAGGGATGCTGAAGCTGAAATGATAATCCGGAAGGCGGCGGAAGTGAATGGCGTTGATCTTCCTCCCTCCGTATTTACCAAATCAAGCACTGAGAAGAACCAGCCTCAAGGCAAAGTGTGGGAAATGTTCACAACGCCACGTCTCCTCGTCAGATGTCTCATCGTCTTCTTTAACTGGTGGGTGGGATAAACCAACAGACACGTTACCCTTTCCTGGTGTATACTATACCTAAATATTACCTGTGTTATGTGTGTGTGTGTGTGTGTGTGTGTGTGTGTGTGTGTGAGTGAGTATCTATCTTTTGACATGCCAGACACATATTGTCATATATTTGGGGGTTCGCCAAGACCAGGTTTGTCAGCAGCACTGCCTGTGCATCCGTGCCCATGGCTGTCACCTTTGTGGTAAACGTGGGTGAGTGAATCTGATCCGAAAGGCTTGTCACGTTATAAACACAAGAACCAATCCAGACCAAAAGGTTAATAACTATGGGAAATATATTTTTAGTTCATTTGGCATTTCCTATGTGAGAGAATATATTCCATTCTCACAGAAGCATTGGCAGTGAAAAACGTATTTGTTTGCTGGGTTCCAAAGCTTCTGAGTTTTGACCAAAAACACACGTTACACCATGTTTCGTGGTAATGTAGGTCCTCTAAGGAACTGGGGTAAAAGCCCCATCATTGATGGCGAAAGTGTATCAGTATGGAAGAGGATCATGATGAAAATTATATCATTTTCACGTTTTTAAAGTTTTATTCAAGAATTCAAGAGACTTACCAATTACTCCATGTAATTTAAGCCATGAATGACACTGAATATATAGGTTATGCCTTAACGCGTGTTGTTAATAATGCTACCTATAAACAAATATGAAATTGATATATTGATGCTATACAGAAGCGTTATTCATACCAAAATAACTCGATTCTAACAACTATATAAAATGTATTATATCCGGAAACACTTGCACCTACCGCGATCAATAGTTATGACAATGTTTTAACGTCAAATGTTATGACTGTGAACTTCTGTATAACAAAATAATGTCTTAGTATTTGGAAGCTATTAGCATATTTGCTAACTCGGTTGTCATCGTATCCGACTCGAGAGGATTTTAAATAGAATAAAAAATAGAATGAATAAGTTTTCAGTTTCTCAAATGCGGCCTTCACTGTTGCAGGCTTGTAGTCAGCATGGTGTACTACGGTCTCGGACTGAACGTACAAAACCTCAGCGGAGACATCTACCTCAACTTCACCATCGCTAACATCATGGAGACTGTAGCTTACGTCCTATGCATCATCCTGCTCGACCGTACCGGAAGGAAGAAACTGCATTGTGGGAGTATGATGCTGGGTGGCATAGCGTGTCTGGCGACTATATTCCCTGTTGTGTATGGCGATAACTGTAAGCATTTAAGTCTGTTTATTGTCCCGATTCCGTGAGTTGTTGAATAGAATGAAGAAAGTATCACGACATATTTCAAGGAGCGGTTATTCTATCCCCACACCATATGGAGTGTATGGAGCTTTCAGTTACATCAGAGTCGATATGACGTGATACGGCGTTTCATCTTGAAGCAAGCGACTGAGCGAGTTATTTATTCATTTATTAGAAAAGGTATAAAAATAACCCTAAATAAACGTGTAGCAAAGCACTTTACATCGAATTTGGTGGCACGTGCACTTTGTGCACAATGAACTTACTCACTTTTTGCATACTTTTTTTGCACCTGAAGATCACACACCTGATTGAAGAACGGTTGATTATTCTCTAGCCTCTGAATGTTGTGGAAAACACGTTAAGTTCAACCTTAACTGCGAGTACGTCATGCCACAGCTTACAGAAAATCAGCGTCTCCGCGCCGTGAGTATGCTGAAGACTGGAATTGTCTATGGAGACGTCTTCAACATAACTGGAACACGAGAGATTAGCCTCCGACCGGCCGTCCACGCGTGACGTCACAAGACAACCACATTCGGCTGACCCATCTAAGAAATTGATTCCACACTGTCCGTTTGACTGCTCGGACCATTCCTGGCTTGCGCCTAATCAGTTCCAGAACTGTACGGAACCGACTGAGGGAGCACAACATCCGGCCCGACGGCCTGCAATTCGTTCAATTTTGCTCCAACGTCACCGACATCTTGCCTGGTGCAGACACCATTTACAGTACTGGAGACAAGATTGAGATGGTGTTTTGTTCACTGACAAATCGAGGTTTTATCTGGATTGCTCATAAGGCACGGCATGGATGTACAAACGGAGAGGTGAACGGTATGCTGACGCATGTCATTGTTCAACGTCGACAGTTTGGTGGTATCAGCGTTATGGCATGGGGAATCATCACATCTCATGGTCGGACCCAATTTGTCTGCGATACAGGGATGAGATCATTGGGCCTCATGTGCATCCGTTCATTCAAGGACAGAGACGTATGTTCACGCTGTAGCAAAATAATACCCGTCCACATGTCGCTCGTGTTGTGACAGATTTCTTGAGACAGCAGATGGCCTGAACGTTCCGGTACTCCCCTGGCCAGCTGGACCTGTCCCGTATCATTTGGGATAAAATGGCGTGACGTTTACGTTAGGCCCAAAATCAGCCTTTGACGTTAGCTGAATTGGGACAAGCGTTGGTTCAGACATGGAACAACATTCCCCAAGCTTTTTCCAATCCCTTATGTCGTCTATGCGCCGTCGTTGTCAAGCCTGTATCAAAACCAATGGTGGACACACACGATACTGAATTTGTGAACTTTTGACACCACATCTCTTCAAGGGCGTGTCACGATGCCTTGTGTCATAATTATACAGATTCTGATATTGTCCTGTCAACAGTTAAACAATGATTTAGGAAAAACACCACAAATCATGTTATCATCGTTTACATTTTACAAAATGGCACAACATCAAATAATGCACAGTTACTTTACCGTAGTACATATCGTGGTACTCTCGTAAATCAGTTAAACCTCTTGTTTGTACTTATCCAGTCAGCATCGAAGTCCATTGTTATTCTCTACATTTCCCTCAAGATATTTGACTGTGTAAACATCTTTTCGAATGACTTGTCTGGCTGATGAAGCTTAACTTTGGCATGTATATGTTTCTCTTTATGCTGCTTGCTGAAGGGCTGATTCAACATCAAATTTTACTTTACTCACTCTTTATTACGGTATCATATATTGTTAATATATATCATTTTAATGTTGAAAAAGGTTCGTATAATGCCCGCTTGTATAGAGCCGAGGGGTCGCTTGTATACGGCCGAGGTACCATACTGTGCACGTACGCTCGAGATGCAGGAATCAGAGGCTACTTAAGGTCACATATTATTTATTAGGAGTAGTTCTTTCGTGGTGAATAAATCAAAAAGAACAACCTACACCCCTATTGTCATCATGTAAACGGTGTATCCATGCAATAATATTTAGAAATCATGAATGACATTTTCCATGGAAACTATAGTTTGTGAACTTTCACTTACATCGCAATTTATACTACTAACTACAAGAATGGATATGCTGTTTTATGTTTTGACAGCTCACGTGTGGATTACAACAGCACTATCAATGATTGGGAAACTCGGTGCTTCTGCAGCGTTTGCCGTCATATACGTATTTTCTGCCGAACTGTTTCCAACTGTAGTGCGAAACTCTGCGATGGGCGTCAACTCCGTATTTTCATCTGTTGGAGGAGTTATCTCCCCCTATATTGCAGATCTGGTAAGTATGGTGTTGAGATACACTCATCTGTAAAACGATTCTTAAAAGTTGACAGACAAACCATTTGATATGTACAACCATGGGAGTGAAATGCTCAAGTTGGTGTTATCTCCAATGTATTGATAAGTGATTTTAGGAGTGAGTGAGTGACTTTAGTTTTACGCCGCACTCAGCAATATTCCAGCTATATGGCGGCGGTCTGTAAATAATCGAGTCTGGACCAGATAATCCAGTGATCAACAACATGTGTCAACCAAGTCAGCGAGCCTGACCACCCGATCCCGTTTGTCGCCTCTTGCGACAAGCATGGGTTACAAGATCAATATTCTAACCCGGATCTTCACGGGTATGATTTTAGGAACACATATTAAGATACAGTCTGAATCGTGCATATGATTTCTTATAATTGTGGAAAGGGTTTCGTTGCCCTGATTTGTATTACATAATACATATGATACAGTTGTACACAACCTCCTTGATAATCTGTTTCTTCCTACACATCAACCTGTATTCCTGTTTGTATTAGCAAAAGTTAAAACAAGGGAATTTGACCAAGACGTTTAACTGTTCACTTAAGTTAGTGTCATGTTTTAAACATGATGTGGTGAAAACTGCTCTTGTCATTACTTCTTCACAGGGCATCCTTCTCGGGGGCAACCTAAAGACAGTACTTCCGCTGATTGTTTTCGGAGCTGTTAGTGTTTGTGCGGGACTTCTTTCACTTCTACTTCCGGAAACCAGACGCCAACAACTCCCCGAAAATATCGAGGATGCCAAAACATTTGGAAAGTATGATTGAGTATATTCTATAATGTAACAGGTTCCAGCATAAGCTATCCCGACGCCCTGCATTTTACTTTATCTTTATTCTTAAAAGAAGTTAGCTGTCTGGAGAAAGCCCAACGGGGCGTGAGGCAACCATGTACGATGATCATGTCACTTCTCAGCTGATACTGCTTACACTTCTTGTGGGGCGGTTGGGTAGCCTGGTGGTCAAAGCGTTCGCTCGTTACGCCGAAGATGCGGGTTCGATTCCCCACATGGGTACAACGTGTGAAGCCCATTTCTGGTGTCCCCAGCTGTGATATTGCTAGAGTAATACTAAAGCGGCGTCAAACTAAACTCACTCACTCGATCACTCATTACACTTCTTGTAAACACACTCCTAGTCCAATGGCAATCCCAAAACAGATCTATCTGATTGTCACACACAAATACATCACCGATAACGTTTGAAATAGTAAGGATGAACCTTTGGAAGCACTTTTCGCTAGTAGCGTAATCAGACCATGAACAGAAAAGTGGTTACAGTGATACAAAATTTACTAGACAACAGACAACAGTATTTTTGTGCCAACTCGTCAACCTTTAAACATTCCAAGTTACTGCGGCAATCAATCCCTATCCACTAGAACCATACACATATACTACTAGTGTATGAGAGACGTTAATCAGCAGGGCCGGGTTGATCAATATCTGCTCACAAGATAGTAATCGTATCAATGACGGTTCACAAGCTTACCTTTCTGTTCAAATCAAACCAAAATGAATATTACGGTGGGGTTCTAAGATCCACACCGCGCCCCCAGTTCTAATGTATAGCACTTGCTTTTTAGCTGAGCATGAACCTGTGCCATGAATTTCAGAGCCAACAACAACCATGGACCACATCGAAATACGCTGGGTGACTCGTACACAGATGGAACTCAAGACAAGTTCAAGCAAGGAGACAGTGAAACCTGCTTTAACTTACAAGGTAGTGACGTCATAGACGTCACACTAAAATGGTCTAAATGAATCCTGAGATCCATGGCCATGCACCAGTTTGTATGGAAATCAGACCGGGCTTTCAAACCCAATGGACATTGCTCTTCATTCACATATAATACGATTCTATAAAGGTGAAACTCTGTCGCGTTTTCAATTCAGTTTGGATGACTCTTGACATGCCTTCCAGTTACTTTGAAATTCTACTTCCTTGATTAAATGTTATGTATTTGCAAAACTTATCATTAAACAAAGTATCTAAGCATTTTGGAACCAAAGTTCATGCAGTTTGTAAATTGAAACTCATATATCACAAAATGAAATCAACAAAATGTATCATGATATGGAGTGTAGAAGGGCATAAACATGACATTGTGGATGAGGTGCGGGGTATATCTGACCAGACATCTGTGTGCTTTATTTAAAGATATAGAATGTATATTATGGACAGGACTTGTTTGATTCATCATGACTTCTGTTATTACACATTGAATCAAATAATGTATATAAGGGTAATTAAATATCATGAACGGGATAAAAAGTGTATCACGTTAGAACATGCAATGATTGTCATGTGTGCTGAATACGGAACATATCACGGAAAAATGTATCATATTTATGCATTCATCATTATCATTATTATGTCTCTGAATACGTGCTTAGTTTTAATTATAATACAGAATGCTTTAATTATATCATGCGACTCATGCAATGTTTATGTCATGGTGCCTAATAATAGATGGTATTATATGTTTGTCATACTCCACGCACTGATTATTTAAAAAGAAATACTTAATGATGTGCAGAATGTGTGTCGAGCCCTATCACTATGCTTATTTATATTTAAGTGACATGAACCATCTTACGGTTGAGCTTGAGAGGTGAAAGACGAATAACTGGCTGTTTCGTGGTCAACCTCTCGTTTGACGAAAAAGCCGTACATCTTGCAAAGTCCACATAAATACCGATGTAGTGTTGTATAATACTGAATGTGTAAGGAAATAAACAGCACATGACTTCACGCCTTCAAACCATATCTTCTTCCATTCTATTTTTGACTTCAACGACGAGCCATCCCTCGCACGGATAACGTCTGATAGTCTCCTCCACACATTGTCCATCAAGTCTCATCATGGGATTCTTCCGCCTTTCCTCAAGGAGTGCCTGCGTCCACACCTGCATATTTTGAACAGGAGAATCTCCAGCTCAACCTTTGCCCCCAAGATAGTCCTAAAGATGTGCATATCGGATTTCCTTGTTGGTCATGGTAATGTTTCGATGGCACTGTTCAAATTGGCGATGACAGCTCGAGAACGATGAGGTCCAGTGTTGTCACCCTTGAATATCGGACGACTGGTAAGCGGATGTTTATCAAAATGAGGCACGATGGCGGTATCCACTACTTCCTATCGACAACGTTGGTCATTGAAAATCCCAGAAACGTTTCCCCACACCATCACTGACCCAGCACCAAAGAGTTCAGCTGCATAGATCATTGATTTGCCTTGTCACGATGTCTCCATACGCGACAACAGCTGTCGGTAAAGCACTGGAGACCATCATCAGACCAATGAACCCTATGCGATGTCCTCACCTTCCGGTTTTCTCGGAGCCCGCATCTCGCCAGACGTTCCTGCCCGTGAGGAAGGGATGATACTGGTGGAAAGTCGGACTCCCACTATCGATATGCTTGCACAGTTCTGGTCTTCCAGGTCTTGGACGATCCTTTAATTAACCGGTGGGCACATGCTTGCACAGTTCTGGGTCTCCCAGGTCTTGGACGATCCTTTACTTCACCGTCTGGCACATGCTTGCACAGTTCTTGGGTCTCCCAGGTCTTGGACGATCCTTTACTTCACCGGTGGTCACATGCTTGCACAGTTCTGGGTCTTCCAGGTATTGGACTATCCTTTACTTCACCGGCGGTCACATGCTTGCACAGTTCTGGGTCTTCCAGGTCTTGGACGATCCTTTACTTCACCGGTGGTCACATGCTTGCACAGTTCTTGGTCTTCCAGGTCTTGGACGATCCTTTACTTCACCGGTGGTCACATGCTTGCATAATAATTCCTGGGTCATCCAGGTCTTGGATGATCGCTGACATTACTTCACGAGTTGTCCCATGGAGCTTACAACCAGTTCTGTCAGTTTTCCAGGTCTTGGACGATCGTATTACTTCACCGGTGGGCACATGCTTGCACAGTTCATGGTCTTCCAGGTCTTGGACGATCCTTTACTTCACCGGTGGTCCCATGCTTGCACAGCTCTGGGTCTTCCAAGTCTTGGCCGATCCTTTACTTCACCGGCGGGCACGTGCTTGCACAGTTCTTGGTCTTCCAGGTCTTGGACAATCCTTTACTTCACCGGTGGTTACATGCTTCCTCACAACTCAGATATTAACTGAGTGGTTGTTATTCAAGTCAGCATTGGGACAGAACATCCCAGGAACACCAGTATTTCCTGAAAGTCTACCTCTTGCCATCTGAAGAGAGGTTAATTTTAGTACAGTTATCGTTTACATCAGTTAAGAAAACTGTAGTGCACATTGTACAGTTGTGACATTTATTCCACTCTGTGCTTGGCACCTTCGCAGCAGGTGAACATCGCATCGCAACGCAAATATTGTGTGAAGCACATGTTTTACATGTGCATTTCAGTAGGCTTGGGTATGTTCGACTGTTTGCACCCCGATTTGTTTATTCATGTGGTGTACTCTTGTGTATATAAATTGATTGCTGAAAATCAGAGATAATGTCATCTACACTAAATACGCAATTGGCAATAGCAAACCCCTCCTATACCATTGACGTATATTCAATCTGTAGTTTCGGAAAGACCTTGTTCCCCTTTCCACAGAGTGTGTTTGCGACTGTTGTGAAACGACTGTTGTTAGATTATGCTGCCTTGTGTGTAAAACGAACGTGAAACACTCCTTGTGTATTTTTGTATTTGTCGTTTCTGAGACGTGTGGATGTCGCGTAGTCTAGTCAGATCCAACATAATCAGGCCATACTGGTTTATTATCATTACTTATGGCATACTTCATATGTCAAATGCTCCACGAAAACACGAATAATTACATATCAATGTTGTATGGGGTGTCACAAATCATATTACAACATATACAATACATATAAGCAAAGTATACAGGAAAGTGGCTGTCAAACGTTGGTGTAAGTTCTCCAATCTGAGAGTCAATTAACTATTTTATAACAGAACAGCATATTTAAGGAAAGTCTTGAACCAAAAAACGCGAATCACAGTGGAGACAAGAGTGTATCTGTCTTGACCATATCTACTCATCACTGTTGGTTGATGACCATATCTTGTATGATACATTGTTACCAGTCTTCGATAATGATATTGCTTCACGGTGAGAGGTGAATTCGGTCTATTGTTTAGCTCCATTGTCACCTTTCTCTGCCTGCTCGAATTAAAACTTTTCGTCGTATATCTTCTTAAACTTTCCACTAATTTGTTTATCAGCTGATTTTATACCGCCGAGCGTATCCAGATAGTTTTGGCTGCTGCTGTTGGTTCTAAAAAGATGATGAGCGCATTCATATATTTAATGATTCGCATGATAATATTATTAGATCAACATTCATGTAGGAAAAACATGTATCAGGTTTTTCATATAATTGTTGTGATTCTATAGTTATATACAGCATATGTGATTGGTGGCCAAACTGAAGAGCTATGTCCTTTCAATATTATCCTCAAGAAACTCTTTATGTCACAGAAGACCTACCTTCCAAATGTTTTGGCGTCTTCGATGTTCTCGGGAAGTTTCCGGTTCAGGGTTTCCGGAAGTATCAGTGATAGCAGTCCAGCCCCGACAGTCACGGCTCCGAACACAACAAGTGGAAGAGCTGTCTTCAGGTTCCCTTCAACAAGTAATCCCTGTTCAAAATGGAAACCATAATTTCTTTGTCTACAATGACCAAATTGTATATATCCGACCAAAAACCGAGACATAGGAGTACCCCGACTAATTTGAAATCAACTCAAAATTATTCCAAAACTGTATGTCCGCCTTGTGTACTTCAACATTGACTCATATCAATGATTTTAGTAGCAACATTGCCAAAAGTGACCTAATCCACAGATATATAGTTTGGTGGAACGCTAGTGCTTGCTTTAAAAAATACAAAAGAATAACATTGCGTGTAGACACTTAATATAAAAAAACATGATTTCTTATGCAAATGCAAATTATATTCAGGTATTCAGTCACTAGCGACCTCATGTCTCACAGCATTCCGATAAAGAAAGGTGATTGGTTGTTCACAACATAAAGAGGCTACACTGTACATTCGACCTTTTAACAAACGTGACTACACAAGTACCTACCAGATCAGCGACAAAAGGGGAGATAATTCCCCCAACTCGTGCAAATGTGGAGCTGGCGCCCATTCCGGAGTTTCGGACAACTGTCGGAAAAAGTTCGGCAGAAAATACGTATATGATGGCAAAGGCTGCAGAAGCACCGAGTTTCCCAATCATTGACAATGTCGTGGTAATCCAGGCGTGGGCTGAAACAAACAGCTACATCTCTTACATGTATCAAATATTTGTACGATGATCTGGTGACTGTTTTCGTCAAGAGTATATCAGTCCAACGAATGACTTGTATTTTCAACATGAAACAGCTGAAGAAGGTATAGATCAGTACATTATATTATAATTGATAACGTATTCACTGATAATCTGTAACAGATGTGTCTTACAGCAATGAAACGTCCATAGTTGGGCACTCCTTTCGTTTGGTAGAAATAAACGATGAAAGACAATTCCCTATTCATAATAAAACGATTCTGACAACATCATGAGCATTTACATTCGTGAATTACTATCAAATAGTCATGATTTCAGTTGTACTTGGTCTCACGTGTGTAAGTGTTCGACCAATGGCCTATAATGATATAATGCCTTTCTGGCTGTCAAAGAAATGATGTACCGATGTACTGTAAACCATACAATGCATAAATACATTAATTTACGACATTGCTCCTTCTATGTGTAAAAGACATTCGATGTTTTACTCTAAGCGCTAATAAAATCTCACAGCTGTCGCCATACATGACCGGAAACATGGTCGCCAGACACGCTACACCACCCAGCATCATACTCCCACAATGCAGTTTCTTTCTTCCGGCACGGTCGAGGAAAAAGATACATATTACGTAGGCCAGTGTCTCCACTATGTTAGCAATGGTGAAGTTGAGGTAGATGTCTCCGCTGAGGTTTTGTACGTTTAGTCCAAGGCCGTAGTATACCATGCTGATCACAAACCTACAACAAAGTCACCATTTTCGCAATAAAGATGGGGATTGACGCCGCTTTGAACAATATCTCTTTGTCTGTTTCTTGTTAAACACCGCACTCAGCAATATTCCAGCTATGCGACAAAGGTCTGTAAATAGTATCAGGTCTGGACAAGACAAAAGTGAGCCTGAGTGTCCACCCGATCCCGTTAGTCGCGTCTTACGTCAAGTATGGGTTGCTGAAGACCAATTCCAACCCGGATCTTCACGGGTCGAACAATATCTCACCAGCGCCACTGCATGACTGTGATTGTCTCGGCATGACAAGGGACGTCTTCAAAATCAAAGTGTTTTTGTTCTAGTTAAACATTACAAAGACCCGTGTCCATGAACTGGAGAAGGAAGAGTTCATGTACGTCCATTTACCAGTTTAAGAAGATGATGAGACTTCTTATGAGGAGAACTGGGGTAGTGAACATTTCCCACACTCTTGCTTGAGGCTGGTTCAGATCCACAGTGGATTTGTCGAATATTTTGGGAGGAAGGTCGACGTCATTGACTTCTGCCGCCTTCCTTATTATTTGTTCCGCTTCAGCATCCCTCCCACGTGACAGCAGCCATCTTGGAGATTCTGGGATAAACCTAAGAGAAAAGCATGATTTGTGGTTATAAAGTATGATGACACAATTCATGAACGGTCCAAGCCATATGGGTACGATATTTCACACAATTAGAAACATTGGTACCAGTAAATCGTCACTTGCTGGATTTTCAGAAAATAAAAAGACGAAATCGTTCACCGAATGAATGAGTGAGGATATATTCGAAGTTTTGTTCCTTATAATAAGGAAGTCAACAAACATAAACTCAACAGTGCATGAAGTCGGGTAAATTCATAAGTCACGGACGAATCGCTTTGTGATGATGCAACTTAAGGAGTGGACGGTCTGATCTATATAATGTAATGAGATCACTACCTACCACCACAGGAAGAGCAGGAGTACAGACGGCACAGAGAGAACCAGTTGCAGATGCTGCCAGTTTCGAATACCATAAGCCACAGCTCCCAGGATGAAGAGACCGAGGCACCAGAACAATTCGATGACAATTCCAGCGAGTACTCTTTTGGAGGGCCCGACAAGCTCAACACCTTCAAGTGGACAAAATATCCGAAATGATCTAATCATTAAAGGCCATTAGGTTCGGCCGTTACTAATATTGGAAACTAGTATGTTTGTGAAAATGTAACGATAAAAACAGAATACCCCAATACAGTTACACTCCAGATTAAGAGCAAATACACCAAGGACGAAGTTTCCTCTAACAAAATGTAAAACCCTAAAAAAAAGTCATAAGAAATCTCTGTTAAAAGCATAAAACATACGATTCCGACTGTATCATGAGTATCCCTATCAATCATATCAAGATGTGGTGTTTGTGAAAAGTGTGAACCAGCACCACCTGTCAGAAATACATGCAAAGGAACGTCAATTGTTTACCTGAAACAACATATGGTAGGAGTCAAAATAGGGCATTACATCTGGCAATATTTTGGGCACAAACAATTTTTTTAAAACAACCCTTTAAAATATATATCATAAACCCTGTATGCTGTAACCTTGATCAAGCAACTTTCGAACATGAAGCTCTTTGTATCATACTCTATTGTACCTCAAACCATGTGAAATGTAGACACCGAAGGCCGCAGTTGCAAGAATTTTGTGCGAATGGAAAGTTGAAGTCATCCCTCTTGTCTTAAAGCCTTGTGGGAACTATTTGTTATTTTTTCAGTTGCCACTCTGAATCATATGCTCAGGTTTATACACCTAACGGAATCTAGGTGTCACATTGTTCTAGTTCAAGATACCAAATTTATATCTGTAACAATATGCCCCCAAATCATAAGCCCGGTTGTATAGGTTATGCCACCAAATCAGAATCCTTAGTTTAACAAGCACTTCCGTGGCGACTGAATTATCTGACAGCTGTGATTGGGTGGTTTTGTGTCTTTAAAATGTGCATCCATCTAGTAATTAAAAATGACCAATATTTTAAATATTTAGTGCTGCCTCGTTCAACATGATGATATATGCCGATGACGTTTTGTGCTGAACTGGGATTTGTATATTTAGCTTCATGTACCAGGAAAAGGAAGTGGTTGAGGTAGTCATTTGTTTTTATTGTTGCTTTATGGCCTGACTACGCACACATGTAGATGTACTAGCTGTTAAAGGTTTTTTTCTTAAATGAAAACGTTTACTATTGAAGTCAGTTGGAAAGTACTTTTGAGTAACCAAAAGATTATTTAACTGACATTGAATGTTAAAACTCTGTTAAACGCTGATCTCACCGATAACGAAGGCCGACATAAAGAGGCCGGCATTGGCAACTCCGTTGATGAACCGAAGTGCTATGAAACCTTCGAAGTTTGGGGCGAAGGCTAAACTGATACCAGATGCACAATGGAAAAACGCACTCAGGAAGAATGTCTTCTTGCGGCCGATCCTGAATGTGAATGCATTTGAAACATTATTTCCGTATCGGAACCATTTCCAAATGTAAACTGTTTCTTACATATGTTCAAACACAAAATTTAACGAAAATAGTAAATTACGAACAATTACTCAGATAAAAAGATAAAGTATAACGAGACATGATTAGATCAACTCACAGAGATACTCACAAATCTGACAGGAATCCCAGAAAGAAGGCCCCACACAGACTTCCTGCGAAATTGATAGAGTTGGACGTTGCCCGCCATCCCTTGTCACTGCACACTATGTTGAACTGTTTGAAATAAGGAAAAACGTCTGCAATTGAAATCATGTGTCTGTATTTGTAAAATGTTTGATGTGCCCTGAATGTGTAATCGCACAACCTGAATGCTTGAATTTCCGTGTTTTGGACATGGATGTGTGCTAATTCACTTTGAAAAAGTGTGCCTCTTCGTCATTGCCAGAATTGGATGTTTACAAATTCTACGTGTTAAGGATTAGAGTAGAATGTAGAATGTGGAAATATATGGTAAGAATAGACAAAGGTCGAAAATTGGTAAAACCTCCATTTTCCACAACGTACCATGCGTTTAATTCCAGCGAAAAGTAAAACAGGCACATACTCTTTCTATCTGATGTCTATATATCATTTCGAAATGAGTGAGGGGTATAATTTAGGTTTGAAATTACCAAATGTGTTGTATGCACACTCACTTGGGCTAGAGCTGTGGAGGTGAAGGTGGCTTTGTCGTACACCCAGGATTTACACTCTCGTGTCTGGTTGCCCGCTGTTAAGTTAGTGTACACGTTGCACTCTGACAACGTCGATACACCGTCATCATCCCGCTCCCAAGGTATAGTACCGTTGATGATGACGTCGTGAGAAGAACCTTGACTCGTGTAAGAATCATTATCAAGGCCAGGAACTGCACATCTGGAAAGGACAATAATTTCCTCATGGATATACAACGTCAGTGCCAGAGAATAGTCAGTCTCGATTTTACGCCGCCGCATCGTCTAGGACAAACTGGTAGTGTAGGTTAGGTCAGTGTATCGCTGATATACACTGGTGACAACAGCGGTTCGCAAACAGGTAAGTCTTGCTCTACTTGTAGCACCCCTCACCATGACGTAGGTAGTGCGAAGATACAGAAACCCAACCGCAGCATCAAAAAGCTATTTTCCAACTGGCATTGTTACATTTGACTATTTACATTTGTTTTACACAATACAGTCATTTTCAAGCAAGCATTACGTGGAAAAGTAGATATTAAGATATCTTAATCTATGCTAACAAAGTATCTAGTCATCTCTGACATGCCACTGCCAGGACAGCCATTCATTATTGTAGCCCATTCACGTGTAACGTAACGTACGACGTCCAACGTCGGCAATAGGTCCCTCCGCGGTGAGAATGCTCTCTGCTCTCTCACGCTCGATATGTGTAAAGGGCTGAATGTTGAACTAGGCTTAAGTTCGTTTTCGAAAAGTACACGACGGGTCACAAAGCTGCCTTTATGCTCCCCGACAAAAGAAAATAACATGTGTTTTTCAAGACAAACATTCTTTGACTTCAAGCATGCGTTAACAAGCGTTACGTGAGACGTTTGTGTTTCATGAAACATATACGGACACGTGCCCGTATACTTCTCAGTTGAACAGACTGGTTAGTTTAGTTTAAACATTTTTTTCTCACAAAGTGAAAAGGGACAAGTTCTTACAACTCATAAAATCACTCTCCAAGATTATTTACAACAATGAGTTTCAGAAGCAATCATAAGAAACAGACACAGAGGTAGATTCACAGTTATGGGGAAATATTATAATACAAAATGTATAGAGAAATAACATTTTAATCATAATGGGTTTTTTATGATTAGAACAGATAATATTATCACATAATATCAATCACAGAAATCTTGAATTATAGCTTTAAACATGATTTGTCTATGCTGATTGTATAATGAACACTCTTAGAAATAATGCTAAGTGTTTTCGCATGGGTTGCCACATGCGCAGGATGGATCTGGGATTAATCCTACTCTGTACAGATCGTAACTTAATCTGCTGGCCCAATGTCGAAAAGACTGACACCTTCCGTGTCCGTCATTGATATGTATGGCAGCATAATACCTCCTGCCTAACACTACTATTATACAAATAACGATATTCATTGCATTATTATTGTTGAATATTTGAAATTCAAGTCGTTGCCTGAATGATTTGTGGAAATGACTTGTATCATTAACCTCTAATGCCATGACTTGTACGTGAAAACACCTTTTCAGTTTCCTTATGAGAAAATGCATAATGGAAATGAAATGTCAATGGATATTAACTATGTCGAAGACTATAACAAAATGTGACAATTTATGAGAGAAACAGAACATAGATTTGTGACATGTTCATGTCACTGTGCATCATGGTATACTCTCCATCGACAAAGTTTAATAGTGTGGACATGGTTACATGGTGACATCATCTCCTTTCATGGATAGTATGTGTCGGTTTGAAGCAATGATACGAGCTGCAAAGAGGTAAGTCAAACACGGTAGGTATGGCGACAGAGGTGAAGTGGTACTGGTCAATACATCGTTACCGCTGATGTTTACCTGACAAACATACGGGAACATAATCACACTTTCATGGCCGTGTTATGGGGTCAGGGATAGCGAAAGGTGAAAGGAAGATGATGTGAATACAAGACTCTGATACAAAGTTCTCTATGTGACAAGGCAAGACTATGGGTGTCTTTCACAATGAAAGAAACCGATTTTCTTTAACTATGTAACGTCAACAAATATTTGTATTTGTTTTATATGGTCAATGTTGCTTAATATCAGCATACGGAATGGGGAACGTTGTACACCTGCAGGTGCCCGTTCCACATAACCTTCATATGAAAGTGTATGATCATGGGTATTGCACGTTTATAGTGACCGATAAAAGATTGCTATCGCGTTCCAAACACCATGATTTCTTAAAGAACATTTTCAGTGATTGTTCTGAGGGAAACAAAATGAAATGTGACTTGGCATATGATAATTATTTACTTATTCATTATTCAATTTTCACCAGATATTCTTATATTCGTAAATGTATTGCATTTCAAGCTATGTTTTTAGCCTCTCTGTAACATCAAGATTTGTTGGAGACTTCAATTTTGTGTTATGCACATGTTCATGTAACATGGAACCACAATTTGCGCACCTACTGCTAACCTTTCGTATAATGAAAAACAGAACAGGAAATATTCGAATGGTTGGAAATAATGAAGCATATAGTATATACTCTGAAATTCCTTTTACAACCTTTGTAAATAATGTAGTATAATCATTGTGCATGAACCAATAAACAGGTTTCATTGTTTACAATAGATTGCATTGTATTGTGCTGTGTAAAACCTTACCTGAAATCCGGGAGGGCTAAGTAAAACACAGGTAGTAGCGTCTGAAAGGCGATTGAGATTGCAGATAAACACACCAGTAAGTACAGGCGTTTTTGGTAGGCACCAAACTCCCCCAAGTGATCTAATATTGTGTCAAACTTCATCCTTAACGTCTCGCAGCTACTGTGCTGCGGTCACCCAATCTTTAAGAAAAGAGCGTTAAACCACGTGACAGGATTGGTCCTGTTGAGGGCGTGTCATATTCGTACAAGGGACCGATATAACCTTATACGCTTGGGGGGAACCAGTTCAAACATAAATGCTTGAAGGAGCATTAAACACTGCTGCTGTACTGACGCGGACATTGATACGCGCGCGGCTTCATCCACAGGGAAACACTGAGTCAATATGCACTTTGAAATAGGTGAATAATTAATGTTTTGCATTGTCATCCAGTTCGCGTATACTTATTTTCCACCTTTGGTAGTGCGCTCGTTTCTGCGCAGGCCTGCTACCTTGCCTCAACTTCGTCATTGTTTTGCTAATTACAAACTGTACACAATAATCTCACTTCATCTTGTAGTATAGTTCGCGCTATTCATTCATTCATTCATTCATTCATTCATTCATTCATTCATTCATTCATTCATTCATTCATTCATTCATTCATTCATTCATTCATTCATTTATTTATTTATTTATTTATTTTTATTTAGGTGATGCTGAAGAGCAGGTTCGTGTTCTCGGAAGTCCGCGCTTTATTTTTAAAATGACGTGATGCATGGGGATCAACACTTCCAGTGACTGCTAATCCATGTGCTTAAATGTGCTTCACCGGGTGGCCCTCGAGGACCAAAAACTTTCGGACTCCTCTGTACTCAACCTTATCCATTTCTGCCGTTTCAATAGGGGTACATGTGATTAAATGACACGTCACCGCAAACTCTGTAGCCTCGTGGCTCTCCCAACAAGCTACACACACACCCTGATGCACGAACAACATTTATATTTTACTTTTACGTAGTGAGTTAAAGTGTTATAACACTGGGAGAACTAAGAGACTTTGTATGAAATGTCCATGGGTAGGGGACACTTTCTGTAGAATAGCTCTTCGACATATCTGAGGTCCCTCAGAACGGTAGTATGAAGTAACCAGGTGTTTCTGTCGAAGAAATATCATTTTGAATTGTTAACCAATAGTTATTGTTTTCCGCAATCTGATTGGTTGATTACCCTTGTCGAATAGTGTTCGACATACCTGAAAATGATGGCTTAATAAGCGCACATTAATTCGTTGGCACTAATACCGTACTACTTTCGCTGCATGAATTTGCATAATGGAGGAAGATTACTACCTCAATTTCTTTCTGGGGGATTTTGATAAAATCTTCGAAGACGACAAATTCTCGGAAGAGTTATTCAAAGATGATGGGGAGTACAATCCCATGCCACATAATCAATGTGTGATCAGAAAATAGTAAAGTGATAGAAGAGCCATAAAATAATATCCTTCAATGATGTCTTCACAAATGAACTGCTCTGCAATTCTCAAGCATTCGTGTATTTAATTTGGTACAATATTCGAAGGTTAAAGATTATTATTCAGCCAAAGAATACGTTAATGCTACTTGTTTCTGGATATTGATCTTCCAAAAGACACCAATCCCAGCAGTCCGGACGTTTCCACTTCCACTGGAAATTCCAGCACTAAAGCCTCCATCTTGTCCACCGAGCGTCCCTCCACAGTCCCGCTTTGCTAAGGTTGATGAGAATGGCCTGAGGGAAATACTTCATTGGCCATTATCGAAAGCAACCGAGAGAAATACAATTTGGGGCTTTAAACTCCGTCGGTTTTAAACTAAATTTGCCTATGTTGCAATTGAATTCCAATGAATCCCGGAAATTGAACAAACCAAACTATTTATCTTCTAAATGACAATAGAATGACGTCATTGTAGGTTTATGTGTAGGTGTTAATATGGACTGTGCTGAAGCGGTTTCACTGGTTCCCAAAATGGGACGTGGTCGGGGTAAAATCTGCTGGACTCATAGACAGAGAACAAATGTATATGATTTGGACTGTTTAACAAAGAATCATTTCTCTTGAAATTGTCAAATTTTGACTGTCTTGCTCCTGATTAATCTTTTCATATGAAATTAGCCACAAAAGGGAAACTAACTGTTCCTATTTTGATGAAATTATTACATCCCTTATTAATTTTAATATCAATTACTTTTACTTCACAAAGGTTGTAAGCAGAAACAATAGAATAAAGTGGACACTATGACAGATGCTTTAAGTTTGATACTTCGTGACACACATCTGGCGCACACCTGGCATGAAGCATTTTAATAAACACTTTTACAATTTCGTTACTTCAAATTAGAGCCAGGGCATCTGCTTTTACTGCTACACAGTACCTTTGCCACTGCTCACGCACGCATACCACTGAATACAAATAATACAAACCACACCATAAACCGAAGTTGTATATTATGGTCAGACATTTGAGAAAGATCCTCCAGTGTCTGTAAAAGGCTGTTGTAGATGCGGAATGTGTTATTGCTTTGCTCTTTTTGTCAGTGCAACGTTACGGTGTAGAGCTAAAAGTGTTGTACCGGAATCATTAAGAACAGATATCACAATGGGAAACGCCATCACTCCAGAGGCTGAATCAGAGCTCCTCGATTCGCATGGTGGCAATCACGGGATTGTCTGGTCCAGAGTACATGTGTTTACAAACAACATCATACAGCTGCAATTCTGCTGAAACAAATATATGATCATGATATAATCACAATTGTACAACGTATGGCGGTTTATGTCAGAAAAAGTAATATAGTCCATAGGCCCAGGTTACACTTTGAGAATTACAATTTAGATGTCCTATAAATGTGGAGCGGGTTTTGTTGCTTCTATTACGGATGCATATACAACCTTGAAAGGAGTTTTATTCTTCTCACATAATATAAACTTACCTTCAACATCTATTTTGTCTTTTCACCGAATAAAGTTTTCCACAACGGATAATCGAGACTGGTTTTATCTGGCGTTGACGATTATGTTAAGTAAAAAGAGGTGATATTCATCTTTAACTGCATCACAAAACACGTGTTTACTTTCAATATGGCAGCTTTGACATTTGACAAGTGCACTCATATTAAGTACCATTAATCATACACAGGTAGGGTTAAACCTCAGTAAGATCAGAAGAGACCATTTCAGTTTCCTCATGCTGTCTACAACAATCAAGTTTACCATGTATCACACCCGTGATCATCCGGCTAATATCGTCAGCAACCCATGTTTGTCGTAAGACCACTAACGGGTGGCCAGGCTTCTGAAGGCAGAACCTAGATTCCCTTGGCTGTTACAGGGTCATGGTTAAGTGGGCGATGGTCCAGAAAGTGAGATCACTGTCCCTGACCTACCGACCTATATTCACAAAGCGCTGAGGACTTGAGTTGAATAGTACATAGTCTCTGTAACATAATGGAATCCTCTGGGTGTTCCATAGATGCGCATCTACCCCTGCAATATACTGCAATATACTATAATGTGTGGAGCCCATTTTTGGTGTCCCCCGCCGTATTATTGCTGGAATATAGCTAAAAGCGGCCTAAAACCATACTTTCTCACACACTCCATCACGAAAGGCATAAGTAGGAATATGTGAGTGAGTTTAGTTTTACGCCGCACTCAGCAATATTCCAGCTATATGGCGGTGGTGTGTAAATAATCGAATCTGGACCAGACAAGCCAGTGATCAACAGCATGAGCATTGATCTGCGCAATTGGGAACAGATGACATGTGTCAACCAAGCCAGTGAGCCTGTCCACACGATCCCGTTAGTCGCCTCTTACAAGCATGGGTTACTGAAGGTTCATTCTAACCCGGACCTTCACGGGTATTTTCTCTTTTGAAATGTTTCAGGTGGGATTAACTTTTATAAAAGCTGAATAAATATACACTTCTTACCTTTTAAAAATACAAATGTAAACATTCAAAGGTAAGAAAACGCGAACAAATGCTGATTATTTTATTCATTCAAAACAAAACAGCATGGCTCGGCGTATTATTTTACCCAAACATGAGTAGGGCCCTGAGCTACTGTCACTCAGCATGTGGCAATTTTCCGATTAGCATGTGGCCCCTATCTATGGCATCGAAGGTCAGAGTTTCAACCATTGGCGTCATAGATACCGAGTGAACCCTTCCATAAGAGGAACACACTCATGAATATTAATGAACAAAACCTGTGGCGCTTGCTATTGTATTACTATGTGGTAACTATTTCATGCATTCTGCATCAATAAGTGATCCTTAGATTGTATTTATGAATATTTATGTTAGGATATATATGTGATTTCATGTTGACAATCCTTTTGAATGTTGTTCTTATAAGTATTGAAAACTCGCAACAAAAAAACACGAAATAAAGGATAGCGAAAATACGTGTTCCCAATACTGGATATTTACAATCCCAAACACACCAGGAATCGCCAAGGTTCATCCGGGTACTTGCCTTAAGTAATTATTAATCTCACAAGTACTCAGTGTTTGCAATACTTTAATTTGCCAGTTGGCCATCAGGGCCTGCTGCCGCCTGAAAGCTTTAAAATCTACTGGCCCTGAATGAAATCTGCAGGCCCATTTTGTTTAAGTCAAATCAATAAGAACAAAATAGACTACACTGTACACAGTTTCACGCCGTTTGTACAAAATCAATTAGCGAACTTTCTTTATATTTGATAAAGACTGGTGTTGACATTCCCATGTGCGTTATTTTAGCACTGAAATACCAGGAAGTGAAACTGTAAGTTATCGTGGCATGATGGATCATGGATGATACCCGAACGTTAATAAAGAAAAAAAGGGGAAAGATTCCAATTGAAAAAAATACAGAAAATTTACTGAAGGCCACAAGGGCCAACAAATATTTGAAACTGCCGGCCCGATACAATAACAACCGGCGCTGGGCCTCCGGGCTGGCGATTATATCGAACGCTGCGAGTACTACGTGAAATGAAGACGGGGCATTGTGGTATACATTCGCTGGGCATCAACCATGCCTATATAAATAAGAGATCACAGTGTCTGGAACATCAACCAGATCCGATTCCTTTGTCATCGTGTTGAGCACGCCTGATCGACTCTGGGCAGCCCGTCAGCTCGTTAGCCTGTCAAGGAATGTGTTATTCATATCAAAGCCACACACAAAATTGAAATCCTGTAACAAAAAAGAACCTCAATACTTTCCATCTGAATACAATATTTAGTCTGACAAAACATACTTTATCTCAATGGCATTTAGCATTAGTTGCTAAATGGGTTTATAGGCAGCATTTACATTCGCACAGCTCTAGCACTGCTCTGGCAAGTGAAATACACTCGGATATGTAACGTTTAACTTCACCTTGAATTATGTCATTTCTAATCATCTTCATTTCGGCATGCGGCTAACACACAGTCGGCAGTGTAGTTCGTGAAATATCTGTCTTAACCTTTAGGTACTAAGGCGGCATAATTTGATAAAAGGGGGGATGGGTGGAATATACAATTCTTTGCAAAGTATTCATACACTTATCTTATGATAAGTATCCAGTGTAGCAACGCACGTGGCAGTGTATTATTTCCGCATTCCATAATAGTAGCTACGTCACTTCCGGAGTGATGTCACATCCGCAGGCATACGTCACGTCCGTTTCCTTTCTATTCTGCATGCTGTCCTGACAGGTTCACCATCTTGCTTCATCCATAATAATTTCTCGATCTTCGCTCAAATTTTGTTATCTCGTAAAAATTCTGAATTAACTTAATACTTAATTCGCATCCGCTATCACATTACGTCCTTTTCATCTGAATTCTTGATTGTTTTAAATAATTGTACAACTTTCTTTCCGAGCAACTCATCATGCCACCAAAGCGCAAGGCAGCCATCAACCACGCTGTGGTCAGGGGACGCCCTAAGGTTGCCAGGCGTCAGGCAAAGGGGGCACGCGCTTCTGGTGTTGTCCCTGGGAGCGCTGCCCCTCAGGCCAACCAACCCGCACCACCCTCTGTGTCTACACCACGTGAGGTTCCTCCGGCAACCATCAATGTGACACCCCCCGCTGGAGCCAAGCTTCATCACCCCGATGGCTCCGTCATCCACTAATCAAGGTACGTCTCACTTTGGGCATATTAGTATTTCGCCGGAGTTGTTAATTCCAAGCTCTGTTAGGCCTGATGTTGAGTTACAGCCACCGCAGGTCCCCACCGCTATGCCAAACTTCTGTATACAGGGGCAACCCTTCTCTAATCCGGAGTCACTGATTAATGCAGAGGCACTGTCAAATCAACAGCTGAACTTCAGGGCGGAGACTATAAGTTTCCATGTGAAGCAAGCAGTGAGGGAAAAGATCCATCGTGGGGAATTTGTAGATATGAGGTCCCTATTGCCACCAGAGAACCAGGCAGCACAGGAGAGTTCCAACTTCACAATGGAGCTTGATATTTCAGGACAGGTAGTTTTTTAAACCCAAGCAGCTGTCTGTCCGTCAATTAAACATTGGGGCTTGGACATCTGCTTTCTTGACTTTTATCAGCGTGGTAATAGAGCGTCAGGCGGATGTCAACAAGATACAACAAATGCTCTCGTACATGGAGACGATCCGCGGTGCCGCATCACGATTTGGCGGTGACTGCTGGTCTCAGTACGACGTCCAGTTTAGGCAAAAAAATGGAGAGGGACCCATTTCGGTCATGGGGTGCCATCGACGGACAACTGTGGCTGCAGTTAATGCTCCCCAGCCACAAGCAGCAGGCATTTGCCTACCCAGCCAGAGCCTCCACCTACACTCAGCAGCGCACAGAGGTATGTAGAAACTTCAATCGTGGCACTTGCGAGAGGGGTCAGATGTGCCGTTATGCACACAGGTGCTCAGCATGTAACATAGGCGGGCATGGCGCCATGTCTTGTTTTCGTGGCAAAAAGAACACAGTCACCACCGCCCAATCTCTTAAGCGTCAACCTACCTTGCCAGGCAGAGCTATTTCACACGGCCCCAACTCCAATTAACATCCCTTGCTTGGAACAATGGTTGCAGCAATATAAATTGTGCAATCCAGCAGCAGCTCAGTTACTACAGGAGGGTTTCAGTAAGGGTTTCAGCTTAAACTACGAAGGGCCACGGGTCATTCGGGACGCTGTCAACCTTAAATCTGCCAGGGAACAGCCACTAATAGTGGAGCAAAAGCTGCAAAAAGAAATTCTGTTGGGTCGCATGGCAGGCCCATTTTCGTACAGACCAGTGCAATCTCTTATAGTTTCCCCAATCGGCTTGGTGCCTAAGAAAGTTGATTCATCAGTTCATGGTGAGGCTGCCTTCCGCCTCATCCATCATTTATCGCATCCTCAAGGCTCATCAATCAATGATTTTATACCACAGGAAGCATGTACAGTGCAGTACACCAGTTTCGACCAGGCTGTAGCCATGATTCAAAACTTGGGCAGGGGTGCTTACATGTCAAAATTTGACGTCAAATCAGCCTTTCGCCTCCTGCCTGTGGTACCATCGGACTTTCAGCTACTCGGCATTAAGTTTCAAGAACAATTTTACATTGATAAATGCCTTCCCTTTGGCTGTTCCATTTCTTGTGCCCTATTTGAGTCATTCAGCACTTTCATTGAATGGGCTATCAAGGCCACTACGTGCAGTCAGGACATCGCTCATTACCTTGATGATTTTATCCTGGCGGCAGTGGACCTAAGCAAATGCTCCAACATGCTTAACACCTCTTTGCAACTGGCTGATAATCTGGGCGTGCCTATCGCTCACCAGAAGACTGTACAACCTACAACTTGTCTGACATTCCTGGGCCTCACCATAGACACGGCTCGGGGTGAAATCAGGATACCGGAGGACAAGATAGCCAACTGGTCCATCAGCTGTCACAGCTGGTAGACTCATCATCCAAGAAAGTTACACTGCATACGCTGCAGTCAATAGTGGGAAAGCTAAACTTTGTATGCAAGGCAATTCCCATGGGTCGTCCATTCTTGCGGCGTCTCATCGACGCACAAAAAGGGGGCACGCAAGCCACACCACAGGATACGGGTATCAGCGGGTATGCGTGAAGACCTTAATCTGTGGCTTCAGTTTCTTGCCAGGCACAATGGCACAACCTTATTCTTGGAACAGGGTTGGGTTACAACCCCAATACTCCAACTTTATACAGATGCAGCTGGCGCTCAGGGTTGGGGTGCATATTTCCAAGGTCATTGGGCCAATGCCAGGTGGCCAGATCTATGGATACAACAAGGATGGGTGAAAGACATTACATGCTTAGAGCTCTTTCCTATAGTCGTGGCATTGCGCATATGGGGCAGCAGTCTGGCCAACAAAAGGGTACTAATGTTCTGTGACAACCAGGCCGTGGTGAGTATTATCAACAGGCACACTGCCAAAGGGCAAAGGGTAATGAAACTGCTCAGACGAATGGTCCTCATATGCTTGCAGAACAACATACACTTCAAAGCACAGTATATACCAACTCAGGCCAACATAATAGCAGACGCTCTTTCGAGATTTCAGTGGTCACGGTTTCGAGCAGCAGCCCCACAGGCGGATCATCAGGCCTCAGGAATCCCAGCGGACATCTGGCTCATCTAACAGCGGAAGCAAACAGTCTAGTAGCAAACTCGATGGCAGCAAACACTTGGAGGACTTATGAGTCGGCGGTACAGTCACTACGGCTATTTCGGGTGGTGTACTCCCTGCCTGACATATGGCCTGTACCTTTAGATCATATGCTTCATTTTATAGCTTATCTCTCATTATCAGGTAGGTCTCCCAGCACGGCCCGTTCTTACATTTCAGCATTATCCTCCATACACAAGCTCAATTCCTTGCAGTGCATGTCTAACCACTTCCTAGTGCAGAAAGCCATTGCAGGGATGGCCAGGAGATCGAGGCAGCCAGATACACGTCAGCCGATTACACTCGATCTGCTAACTCGCATTGTGCAACTCCTCCCCACTGTATGTAGGTCTTCATATGAAGCTTCTATGTTTTCAGCGGCATACCTGCTAACATTTTTTGGGTTTTTCAGGGTAAGTGAGGTAGTTGCCGGTTCAATCAGCGACTCATCACAGCGGGCGTTGTTGCTGAATGACCTATCTTTCGCTAGCGACCAATCCTACGTCGAGGTGGTCCTACGGGCCTCCAAAACAGATCAACAAGGCCGCGGCACACGCATCGCCATTCAAGCAGTCCCTCGGTCCATACTGTGCCCCGTCAAAGCTTTGACACGATTTTTGGCAGTGCGGCCACGTACAGATGGATATTTCTTTATTCACACTAATTCCGCTCCTCTAACAAGATTTCAGTTTCAGGCAGTGCTCAGGAAGACGCTAGCGGCAGCAAAACAACCCATCAATATTAATCTTTACTCTTCTCATTCATTTCGGATAGGGGCAGCAACCACAGCAGCGTTGCAAGGAATTCCGGCAGTTCAGATTCAGGAATTTGGCCGCTGGAGATCGAATGCCTACCAGGCGTATATCCGTATCCCCCGGCTAAGCACACAAAACTAATTTAAGAAATATGGGTTGCAGGACCATCGTGGGTGATTGGCTCAAGCTACATGGCGAGGCTGCAACAACACCTCGGGCCGCACCGAAGCAGCCTGGGCCTCGCCGGGGGGGTCATCTGGTCGGCAAGGGGGGGCCTCAGGTGGTCGGAACTACGCAGCAGGGTGGACGGGCTAATAAGGGCGAGGGGCCCATGCAGGTCGTTTATCGTGATCCACCTGGGTTCTAACGACCTGTGTGAGGTCCCTTCCAAAGTCCTCTACGATGACATGCACCAGGAATTGCTGTATATTCGCCTGCGCTGCCCAGCTGCCACCATCATCTGGTCGCAGATGCTGCCTCGGCTCGAGTGGCGTGGAGCTATTGATCTCCGCGCCCTCGAGCTGAAGAGAAAGAAATTAAATCGTAGAGTCAGCAACATCGTGAAAGAGCAGCTGGGCGGCGGGGTTGTATCATTCACACCTGACCCCGCTCATTATCTGGACGGGGTTCACCTAACCAAGCCAGGTATGGACGCCCAACATCGTGCCATCCTGGCAGCATTCAAACATTAAGACCTTTTCTGCGTCCTCTCCCCTACTCCCACCTTTAACTCTTTAACTCGTTGTGGATGGCAGCCCCGCTCGCTGTCCGGCAGTGGGCAGCGTGCGGGCCTGTTGGCATGGTGCCGACGGGACTAAACACTAAATAGGCTTAATAAGGGGGATACTTGGCTTCTGCTTTCACAGTGGCAGCCCAAACCTTCCTGCCTGCTGTCTCCGCGGGAGGAAGTACAAAAGTTTCCAATGCCTTATCAGCCTGCTTTTCCTGCCTGCTGTCTCCGCGGGAGGATATACAAGGTTTGCAATGCCTTATCAGCCTGCTTTTCCTGCCTGCTGTCTCCGCGGGAGGAAGTACAAAGTTTGCAATGCCTTACCTGCCTGCTGTCTCCGCGGGAGGAAGTGCAAACTTGCCTATGCTTTGCCTGTCTGCCTTTACACGGCGGAGGGCCGCAAAAAGCTAAGCTATATATCCGGTCCCGTCGGCGCCATCCACACCGCGCTCATTGTCATCCACACTTCTGCGTTGTGTAGTCTTTCATTGGGTAGACATACCATATTAATGTCATCCTCATCAGCCGCAGCTGATCGTTATTACAGACTAAAGGTCTGCATATAATGGCATTTAGCATTAGTTGCTAAATGGGTTTATAGGCAGCATTTACATTCGCACAGCTCTAGCACTGCTCTGGCAAGTGAAATACACTCGGATATGTAACGTTTAACTTCACCTTGAATTATGTCATTTCTAATCATCTTCATTTCGGCATGCGGCTAACACACAGTCGGCAGTGTAGTTCGTGAAATATCTGTCTTAACCTTTAGGTACTAAGGCGGCATAATTTGATAAAAGGGGGATGGGTGGAATATACAATTCTTTGCAAAGTATTCATACACTTATCTTATGATAAGTATCCAGTGTAGCAACGCACGTGGCAGTGTATTATTTCCGCATTCCATAATAGTAGCTACGTCACTTCCGGAGTGATGTCACATCCGCAGGCATACGTCACGTCCGTTTCCTTTCTATTCTGCATGCTGTCCTGACAGGTTCACCATCTTGCTTCATCCATAATAATTTCCCACCCACCCTTCCTGCTGCAGCACATGATCTGGGGAGTGGGGGTGCTGGGCGCAGAGGTTGTTAAATGCACGACTTATATTAAGTCTTTGTACAGTTCTCAGTATGCATAACATGTACCATAACCTTTGTGTCTTGCTTCCTTTGTAATAAACAGGTGCGGTGGGCATGGTGCCGACGGGACTAAACACTAAATAGGCTTAATAAGGGGGATACTTGGCTTCTGCTTTCACAGTGGCAGCCCAAACCTTCCTGCCTGCTGTCTCCGCGGGAGGAAGTACAAAAGTTTCCAATGCCTTATCAGCCTGCTTTTCCTGCCTGCTGTCTCCGCGGGAGGATATACAAGGTTTGCAATGCCTTATCAGCCTGCTTTTCCTGCCTGCTGTCTCCGCGGGAGGAAGTACAAAGTTTGCAATGCCTTACCTGCCTGCTGTCTCCGCGGGAGGAAGTGCAAACTTGCCTATGCTTTGCCTGTCTGCCTTTACACGGCGGAGGGCCGCAAAAAGCTAAGCTATATATCCGGTCCCGTCGGCGCCATCCACACCGCGCTCATTGTCATCCACACTTCTGCGTTGTGTAGTCTTTCATTGGGTAGACATACCATATTAATGTCATCCTCATCAGCCGCAGCTGATCGTTATTACAGACTAAAGGTCTGCATATAACGCCTCCATACCCTGGAAGACGGAGAAAGGCGTCAGTGTCAGGGACTCCTGTCTCATCTACAAAGACGATGTTTCAGGAGGTCAGAACAGAACAACTCAGGAATGCAGCGCCTGGGTGTACGACAACTCTGTCTTCAAGAACACCGTTATCACAGAGGTAGATACTTTTGTTTCTATCAGCAACTTGATTGGGTTTGCAAAATCGAACCATGCTATCAAGACATTGAAAAAATAACACAATTCTGCATCAGTTTCAGTACAGAGAGGACACATGTTTTAACATTGTTCACTATGAAATCGGGCGCACTGTCCATGTATTCACTCACCCCTTCCCATAACTGCAACTAGTTTATTTCCAGTTCAACATGGTGTATGGCACCAGAGGACTCCGATCTCTGGCCAACAGCATTCTTTTTGCAGGACTTCTCTTCGGTTCTTTGGTCTTCGGCATCATTTCAGATCTGTACGTATTGTCCAGTCTGAGGTCACATGTACCCTTTCGTAATATTCTGTTGAGATTATTATTTGACTTAATGTAAATATAAGGTGAACATCTTTTCTAGACAGAAAGCACAATAAACTTAAAAAAACATGAAATGCGATTAAAATATCATTCTACCCCATATTTTACTGCAACCATCTATTGGGATATTTTTCTAGGTTTGGCCGCAAGAAGTCACTGTTGCTAGCTGTGTTGCGTCACCTTGGCACAGGAATAGGGACTGCTTTTGTCATTATCAGGTTCTTCAACGGTGCCTCCAGTATCATACTCTTGATATCCACCTTCGTTTATGGTGTGTATATGGAACAAATTGCGTTGAAAGAGTTTGTCTGCAAACGTAAATAAGAACTTAGCATTTTTAAAGTCAAAGTCTTGTGCTTTTGAGACAAGAGTGTTTCTTTCAATCGAGTGTCAGATCAGCTTGTTTTGTGTATGCAATGTGCATTCCTCTCCTGCAAGGTGAGACAAGTTGGGTAGAGTTTGTGATCTGATCATATTTATGCGCTATAAACGAACCTTCGCAGGTGTAGTCATCGAGTTCTTCTGGTGCTTTGGCCTATTCCTCGTTGGATGTCTTGCCTACTTCATCCGTGACTGGCATCACCTGCAGCTCACCATAACCATCCATGTAGTAGTTCTCTTGGGTTTGTACTGGTGAGTATATCGTCTTGGCCTCACCTGCAGCTCACCATAACCATCCCTGTAGTAGTTCTCTTGGGTTTATACTGGTGAGTATATCGTCTTGGCCTCACCTGCAGCTCACCATAACCATCCCTGTAGTAGTTCTCTTGGGTTTATACTGGTGAGTATATCGTCTTGGCCTCACCTGCAGCTCACCATAACCATCCCTATTGTAGTTCTCTTGGGTTTATACTGGTGAGTATATCGTCTTGGCCTCACCTGCAGCTCACCATAACCATCCCTGTAGTAGTTATCTTGGGTTTGTATTGGTGAGTATATCGTCTGGGCTGCATCTGCAGCTCACCATAACCATCCCTGTAGTAGTTCTCTTGGGTTTTTACTGGTGAGTATATCGTCTTGGCTTCACCTGCAGCTCACCATAACCATCCCTGTAGTAGTTCTCTTGGGTTTGTACTGGTGAGTATATCGTCTTGGCCTCACCATAACCATCCCTGTAGTAGTTCTCTTGTGTTTGTACTGGTGCGTATTTCGTCTGGGCTTCACCTGCAGCTCACCATAACCATCCCTGTAGTAGTTTTCTTGAGTTTGTATTGGCGAATATATCGATACTCGATACTTGTGAGTATATTACCTTTACTTTACCTGTGGTGCCAAGGTATTACAAACACCAAACATGCTTGACAAAGTTACTCCGTTGACGTGTTTCTTTATGATGAAATATTTGTCGTTACTACGCCCCATCTGAATCTAAATCTCTCTTGACATGCCTTTATTTACAGAAAAACACCTACCGCCATACGATTCTGTCTATTACTCATTCTTTACTTTTAGATATTTATATTAAAACAGCTATGAAAATATTTAGGGCTGTTCCCGAGTCCCCAAGATGGCTGTTGTTGGTTGGCCGTGAGAGGGGGGCAGAAACATCCTGAGGATAGCGGTAGACGTGAACGGTGTGACTCTTCCGCGGAAGCTATTTGACAAGGATACGCTGGATGCCGGTCCCAAGGCCAACGTCACAAAGATGTTCACCTCTCGAGGGCTCCTTTTTAGGAGTCTCATCCAATTGGTCAGTATAACGGGATTGAGAAATGCAAGGGTGGTTGGTTTTAATACCGAGCCGATGATCCTCACCTACAGCTGACCATAACCATCCCTATAGTGGTTCTCTTGGGTTTGTACTGGTGAGTATATCGTCTTGACTTCAACTACAGCTCACCATAACCATCCCTGTAGAAGTTCTCTTGGGTTTGTACTGGTGAGTATATCGTCTTGACTTCACCTGCAGCTCACCATAACCATCCCTGTAGTAGTTTTCTTTCTCCATTGTGAAAGTATGTTAATAGGAGGGATCGCCTGCTTGTGTACCCTTTTCCCTGTGCTTTATGCGAATCAAGGATAGTTGCACATCCTTTTAAACCTTATGACGTCCAAGATAATTTGCCTAACCTTTATAAAGATGTTGAAAGTCGTTTATTTTCTAGTAACAGTAGGTGATAATATTCAATAAACAAGTAATGATATTTTATATGTTTAATGAGATAAAGCAGTGTAACTGAGATTTGCATTAATCGCCGTTGTCAGATGACCATACCGTTTGTTACATGATCGGCCAAAGCGCCCTATTGTCCATCCCGCAATTACCGTGAAAACTCATAAAATCCGCGTGGATCCGCCTCTATTGTCAATTCCGATAAGTACGAAACATCCTCCTCAACAAACGCCCAATGTCAACTTGGTTCATTCCATTCAATTCGTCCTGCGGGGCAGCGCCAAGTTCGTAGTGAGTGGTAGGTGGTTGTTGACAGTGACGTTTCCAGACATATTCCATGGGTGACAAGTCTGGACTGAGTGCTGGCCAGGTGGTTATGTTCTCCTGTTGGAGGTACTCAATAACAATATGAGCCCTGTGTGTTCTAGCGTTGTCATCCTGAAATACAAAACCACGTCGACGTCGATGCGTGTGCCACGTGTGCCTCCAGGGTGTTGTCACGGTAGTACTGCCTCCAGGATGTTGTCACGGTAGTACTGCGCAGTCACACGTCCGTGAAGAACACGTGAATGTGTCCTGCCAGTCACAGCAACCCTTCACCACCATTACTCAGCCACTCCAATACGACCGTTCTGTCGAACGTTACCGGTATGAAAACGCTCAGTCCGTCTACGCTACACTCGGTTGCGCCAAATCAAACCCCGATTCATCTGAAATCATTTTCCCAACGACGCGCGGTACCAACGACGTCTTGCAGTAATGTGACGGTCCGTCACCTGTGAGATAAGAGGTGGATGTCAGGCATGCAGTTTCCATCAGTGTAGCTTACATTGCCGACCTGGTTAGACAAAAGTCATTTTACCTGAACTTCATGATAGAAACATATGCAATACACTCGTTCCTAAGGGGTCTAGGTAAGGATAATGTGTATGCGCATGATATCATATGTAGCCTTTATAAGTCTGCTGTATGTGCCCATGATATTATGTGGAACCTCGGTAGGTCTTTTGTATATACTAATTATATGATATACAGCAATGGCAAGTCCACTGTATATGTCCATAATTTCGCATGGATCCTTTGTAAGGCAATTGCATGCGTGCATGATATTATATGGAACTTTAGAAACCTTCTTCTCTCCCGACAATAAAACAGTCGGGCCATAAATACCGGAGATTTAAAGCTGATCTTGATGTGTTGGTGTGTTGGTTGACGGGGATATCTGCAGTGCCCTTCCCCTCATTGCGTTCGGCGTTCTGACGATAATGGCGGGGATTCTTGCTCTCTGGCTGCCCGAAACTCGCCGTCGCAAATTGCCCGAAACTATTGAAGATGCCAAAAATTTGCAAAGTGAGCATAAACAGGAACAATTCCACAAAAATAGAAGTCGGACAACTGTTAGTCTAGACAGCGGACTTTGTGTACCCCTCTGATAAGTGTTAATTGGCACGGCTCCCGCTGCCGAAAGCTATGAAATACACAACACCAGTTTTGAAAGTGGTCAAACGTAACATACGTTATATTTGGGATTACACTTTCTTAGTAAAGTACAGATTCTAGTACTTTTTGGGTTGAGTCCCATCAATGAGACAATCGCCTGTCTAGACTACCAGTTGTCCGACTTCCATTTTTGTGGAAACCGCGGTGGCTGAGCGACATAGGCGTCTGACTTTGTGCGCTGGAGATTAGGTGCCTGACTCTGAGGGTGTGGGTTCGAATCCCGGATGGGACTCAACCACAAAAGTACTAGAACCTGCACTTTACTAACAAAGTTTAATCCCAAATATAACGTATGTTACAAGATCATTCACATGATCATAAAGCACATGCTGACATTCTACATCCCTGTGTTTACAAGTTTTTGATAGGTATGGGCTCACGCTTCACCCAGAGATATGGGCTTAGAATTGGCCGTCAGCAACCCTTGTCGTAAGAGGCGGCTAACGGGATCGGGTTGTCAGGGTTGCTGACTTGGTTGACGCATGTCATCGTATCCCAAATGCGTACATGTAGATGCATGTTCATGCTGTTGATCACTGAATTGTCTGGTCCAGAGTCGATTATTTAGAGACCGCCGTCATTTTTTAACATTAACTGGATCTCTACTTAACAATATACCATAGTCTGTAAATAATCGAATCTTGACCAGACAATCCAGTAATCAACATCATGAGCATCGATCTACGCAATTGGGATACGATGACATGTATATTAAAAGTATTGCATTGAGAACTGATATTTGTAACACCAATTTAGATTGCAAGACATATGTCCATTGCCTGGCACCGGACAAAAACATTTCCGCCATCACCACATATGAAGAAAATCAGGTTTTCCTTAAAGTCTTTGGACATAGATGCACCTTCACTTTTGTCGTGGGACCGCAGACACCTCAGTACACATATACTAGGTACAAGAAATAAGGGAACCCCCAAGTGGAATTTATAGTTGAAACAATGCTACATAAAAGTTGCAAGCTGATTGCATTCGAACCCAGATCGGAAATCACTTACGGCTGACACGACAGTCAGCACCATGTTACCTTTATATGATACACGTGCATCATGCACCACACGTGCATTCTAGCCTATAAAACTGACAGTAAGCGTGTCCCAATATCTCTTGTGAAAATGCCACCTCGACAGTACCCGACAAACGCACAGAAATGGCAGGCCATTGGCATGATAAAGGGTGGACAATCTCAGAATAGTGTTGCCCGGTTCTTCAGGAAGTCCAAAAGCGTCATTTCCTGTTTCATCAACCTTTACCTTCAGACAAGGGGCGTTAACATGAGGACCGGTCGACGAAGACGCCCTAAAACCACCCTCAGACAAGACAACATCCTGAGAGCTATAGCTCTGAGGAATCGATTTGTCACAGCCCCGGATTTGAAGATGGTATTCTTCAGAGTCGCAGGAACACGGATTTCGAACTCTACTGTACGAAACAGGCTCCGTAGGAGAGTCAAGACGTCCATTCAAAGGCGTGACGATGACAGCTAACCGCAGACGTCTTCGTTATCAGTGGGCTCAGCAATGTTAGAAGAGGGGGGAACCGGTAATGGCGACATGTGATGTTTAGCTTTGTTTGCGATTCACGGATGGACGATTGCGTGTGTGGCGACGCCGAGATGAGCGTTATGGGAGACCCACGGTTCAAGGAACACAATTCTTATAGAGGCGGCTCTGTCGTGGTCTGGGGAGGAATTTCTTTCAATAGGAGGACTTATTTGATTCTTATACGGGGTAATTTGACAGGCCAGCGGTATATGGACGAGATCTTACGGCCACACGTGGTTCCAGTGGCTCACAGGGCAGGTCGAAGATTTGTGTTTCAGGACGATAATGCACGTCCTCACAGAACTCGTGTTGCCGTGAACTTCTTGCAACAACAAGGTGTTACAACTTTACCCTGGCCGGCTAAAACACCAGATCTATCCCCTATCAAACATCTGTGGGATGTGTAAGGGCGTCGAGTTCGTCTCAGGGAGCCTGCACCAGCAAATCTTGATGTGTTAGGGAGAGCACTGCAGCAAGAGTGGCACGTGATTCCTAGGGCGACAATTCAGCGGTTGGTGTCCAGCATGCCTGCAAGGTGTCGTGCATGTATTGCTGCTCATGGTGGACACCATCGTTATGAAGTATATCTGACATACTTACCGTACGGTTGTGCTGATTAAATTATACATGCTTCACAAAGTCAAGGGGTTCCTTTATTTTTTGTGCCTAGTATATATCCAGGCGGGTAAACTAACTGAAACGTACATAAAATATAATATTCCCCTTATCCGCCCGGTGTCAGAACGGCAGATTGTGATGTCAGCCGCGCTCAGACACGTGTGCACTGTCTGTTCCCTGACATTAAGAATAGTTCATATTTTGGATGCAGTGGGTGAGAGTGTTAAACTTTAATTTGTAGCTAATAACAAGTTCTGGACATTTGACCACAGTCAAAAGGCATTGTGTGTTTATGGCTTTTGGTCGGAGCCGTTGTAAGTGACGTTTCAGCGTCATTGCAAAAGAAATCCCAGTGGCCAACGTTATTTTTTCAGTTAGTGTACCAAAGTGAACACCCATGCAAATTGTGTTGCTCGTATCACAAAGTGAACGCTTTTTCTATTATCTGCCCTACTACGATCTTCGGAAACCGATTCTATTTGGTCTAAATTGCTGTGAACAAGCGCCTTGGACTGTCTTAGTTTTTAAATCATATGGAGTGCTATACAAATGGACCACTGGAACAAAGACATATTCGTTTCTGCTCTGCCTATCAACCACTAGTTTGCTGGTCCCAGACTTCATTGTTGGAATATGGCCGAGTGTTCTGTCAAACATTTAGTCACTAACCTAACTGAGCGTCACGCCATGCATGTGTTGATGACCCTCACGCCATGCAAGTTCATAATGCATGGCCTTTATGTTGAAAATCATTTGTGGCAAATCTTGATTGGATATTCTTGAGTTATGTAAATGGGTGAGCCGATTCGATAGCTCTCGACCTCAAGGTTTTACAAAGAGGGATTTTCTCGACACTGAGCTCATGACATTCGGTTTTCCACGATATCATTCAATTCTGAACAAAGAATTGATATGCTGATCTTGACCCACCATCGACTGAAGGTCATGCCAAGTGAACGTTTGATTAATTTCTTTACAATCCCTTCATGCAATGGACTCACAAAATGCGATAAATAAGAAGAAAACTAGACTAACACTAGACTAGACACCTAAATATATATAATTTCGATGGAAACAAAGTGCTCTATTACATATAAATTGAGACCCAGTAAGCGGTTCGCATCGTAATAAATAGGTAATTAATTAAAACTGGACAGTAATATAAAACACATTCCAAATTGGTCAGTTATAAGTACCAAGATATCAGGTTCACATATTCATCGCTATACACACCTTACTGGTGCACAGTATAACTGAAAGACCCCATATCACGTTCACATATTCATCGCTATACACACCTTACTGGTGCACAGTATAACTGAAAGACCCCATATCAGGTTCACATATTCATCGCTATACACACCTTACTGGTGCACAGTATAACTGAAAGACCCCATATCACGTTCACATATTCATCGCTATACACACATTACTGGTGCACAGTATAACTGAAAGACCCCATATCACGTTCACATATTCATCGCTATACACACCTTACTGGTGCACAGTATAACTGAAAGACCCCCAACCAAAGTTAACAAGCAGATCATTTAACACACCTTTGTCTTGGCCTCATTTTGAAGTCTTCAAAAGCGTAGGGGATCGTGCAATAAATCGGTTGTCATAGGTATTCAGAAGAAAGATCAGATTGACAAGATGACTCCCGAAGATATATGGAGAATGGTTTCGAAACCAGAACCAAAAACATTAACACACCAAAACATTGGTGAGGGCACCTCACCGGAATGTCGTCAACTCGACACGTTCTTGTCAGACACTAATGGCGTTAGAACATAGCAGATTTTGGGCTTTATCTTATGATATGTTGAGCGACCACTATACCTGGAAAACCGCCACTGCATAGTAGCCTCGGAAGGGTCAGTAGACAGAACTACTGAGTCATTATACTGGCGGCAATAGTCCGTAACTTGTTTGTAGCATGCCTGACTACCCCAGGGACAAAGGATTACCTGAATGCCATGACCAGCCTTGGTCATTTCCCCTACTGAGCAGGTCTGTGACATGATGGGGGAGAAAATGCCACACAGTACACAGGCCAGGCGCTGCAAAAGGAGTGAACAACAGACACACACATATCTACTGTATCCGACTATTGCGGCCGGATGAGGTCTCCAGGACATGCTTTCTACCATTGAACTTTATATCTTAACTCGAAGGGCAATTTTTTACTCAGAGAACTTATGTTATTTTCACTTTAATCACACTCAACAAACAGTGTAACTCTTAAGTGGAAGTGGCAGGGCTCAGTATGACTCGCATGTGCGAGTACTTAGGAGGATGATCACATACGGAACTGAATCATTCACACTCAATGCGAAGGGAGAATGCTTTGAGAAGTGTTCTATTGCTTAGAGAAGCACTTTGTGGCTCTGTGTGATCTTATATAGCAAATAATGCCATAATTAACAAAACTAAAACAAACTGATCCAATTCACAAGCTCCAACCTACACAAACAACGCGCGGACACACACACACATACAAACACACGTACTCGCACACACACACATATTTACAAACACACTGTACCTGAAAGCGTAACAGATCTTTGTGGCCTACCTTATAGTGAATGTTCCGATGAACCCCTTAACAGTGACCATCGTCTTCATTTTGGTCTGTTGTGTCCCAGCTAAATATTGGCCTGCATGACTCGG